CACCTTGGCCGGGACAGGACTGCCTTTCTGTGGGGGGCTGGGGCCAGCCAGGCCCAGGCTGAGAGCAGCCCTGCCCCTGCCCCTGCCCCTGCCCCTGCCCCTGCCCATCGGGGACCATTTGTACGGTTGGTGGGCAGGTGCCACCTTGCATCTCGTCAGCCGTATGGAGCCCCTTGGGCTCCCTCACACCAGCGTGGCCATGGGGCCCCTGAGTGACGGCTGTGGGGGAGCTGTGCTGTGGCCTGTGACCCTCGGCCGCTCCCCTGTCTCCCCAGAACTCGTCGGCGCCTCTGGCTGAGGACATGGACCCTGAGGTGAGTGTCCTGTGCGCGGGGCTCCCCTCCTGCGCCCTGGCCCTTGGATGACCTCCCGTTGCCCCGCAGCTTGCCCGGTACCTCAACCGGAACTACTGGGAGAAGAAGCAGGAGGAGGCTCGGAAGAGCCCCACGCCCTCCGCCCCCGCGCCCCTGGCAGAGCCCACCGCCCAGCCCGTGGAGGCGCACGCGGCCCCTGCGGCCGCGGTGGAGGTGAGGCCGCTCTCGGTGCCCCTGGGAGGGCCCCAGGGACTGGCCGGCCACTCACCCTCTGTGTCTTCCAGGCTTCCCTTCCCGAGACGGACCCTCAGCCCGTAACCTCCTCCGGGGGCCTCTTCAGCGAGGTAAGCGCCCTCCTCGGCCACGGACACAGCCTCTGGGTGCAGCGCAGGCCCCGCCGCCCACAGCGACCGGAGGCGGCTGGGCCTGGCTGCCTACCGAGCGGACCAGCGCCCAGAGCCACCCGCTGTCCGTCCTGGGGCTCCGGGCCTTGTTGCCACTGGAGTAGATGCCAGGCCTTTGCAGGGGAGGCCGGTCCGTATCACCCGTGGGGGGGGGTGCTTGTGGGTGGCCACGGGGGCTGCAGCCGGCTCTGTCCTCATTGAAAGACTGGAGCCTGAGGTGCTGGCCTTGGTCCAGGTCCGGGGCTGGTGCAGGCGCAGCTGCTGAGGCCCCGGGCAGAGGCCCTGCCCACGGAGGCAGATCCTGACCCGGGAGCCGGGGGACCCCACAGTGTGCCCGTCCCCAGCAGCAGTTCCAGAACGGGGAGTCGGAGGAGAGCCACGCGCAGTTCCTGAAGGCCCTGCAGAACGCCGTCAGCACCTTCGTCAACCGCATGAAGAGCAACCACGTGCGAGGCCGCAGCATCACCAACGACTCGGCCGTGCTGTCCCTCTTCCAGTCCATCAACGGCATGCACCCCCAGCTGCTGGAGCTGCTCAACCAGCTGGACGAGCGCAGGCGTGCGTCCCTCGGGCCTCCGCGCTGCTGGGCTGTGGGCTGGGCAGGCTCCTGGGGCAGGGCGGCCCCTGGGCTCCAGCGGGGGGGAGGGGGGGTCCCAATGACGGGCAATAGCCCACCAAGCATGGGACCGGCACCTGAAGGAGGCGTCCCCTGGCCACGGCCGCTCTGCCCCCTGCAGTGTACTACGAGGGGCTGCAGGACAAGCTGGCGCAGATCCGAGACGCGCGGGGGGCGCTGAGCGCCTTGCGGGAGGAGCACCGGGAGAAGCTGCGCCGGGCGGCGGAGGAGGCGGAGCGCCAGCGCCAGATCCAGCTGGCCCAGAAGCTGGAGATCATGCGGCAGAAGAAGCAGGTGCGCTGGGCGGCCTGGCGGCCGGGTGGCGGGCACCGGCATAGCTGGTGCTGATGGCTGCCTGTGCCCGCAGGAGTACCTGGAGGTGCAGAGGCAGCTGGCCATCCAGCGCCTGCAGGAGCAGGAGAAGGAGCGGCAGCTGCGCCTGGAGCAGCAGAAGCAGACCATCCAGATGCGCGCCCAGATGCCCGCCTTCTCCCTGCCCTACGCCCAGGCAGGCGCCCGCCCCTCAAGCTCCCGCTGCCCTGCAGCCGCCGGGAGCCCCCTGACAGCCGTCTCTCTCCCCAGCTCCAGGCCATGCCCGCGGCGGGCGGCGTGCTGTACCAGCCCTCCGGCCCCACAAGCTTCCCGGGGACCTACAGCCCGGCAGGCTCCGTGGAGGGCTCCCCCATGCACACCGTGTACATGAGCCAGCCGGCCGCGGCCACCGGCAGCCCCTACCCCAGTGTGCCCGGGGCCGGAGCAGGTAACCGGGTGGGCGGACGCGTCAACCAGCCAACATGAGCCCCAGACCGTTATTTTTGTGTTTTATTTTTACGTTGGCTTGTTTTATAGAATAGCTAAGAGAATGAATGGTGTAAAGAATTTCCTAGATTCCCCAAATGTTAACATTCTTCCACATTTGCTCTCTACACGCACACGCCTCTACTGCGCACACTAATGTGCGTTCACTCCGACACCTTCCGGCTGGAGGCTCTGGCTTCCTCCCCTTTCACCCCCCACCCCCACCCCGTCCCGTGTGGACTGACTTGGGTCCTGGGATTCGGAAAGGAGTTTCAGGATCCAGCCCAGGCCTGACAGGTGCTCGCTGTCCCGATCCCCGTTCTGGGTTCAGGAGGTGCAGGCAACGCTGCCCGCCCTGCAGTGTCCTGACTCGGCTGGAATACAGTTGGGTTCGTTCGACTTCACTCATCGCTGGGGGCCCCTCCCATCTGTGCTGATGTCCTTATTTCCCTTGGGTGAGAAGGTGAAACATGAACTTGGTTCCAAGTCTCACAACAAAAAATGAAAACTCAGAGAAATGCTCCCCAACTCCGGGGTCTCCCCCTCACTCCTCTTCCTTCAGATCCCAGCGTGGTGAGCACCTACATGTACCCAGCAGGGGTCCCTGGCGCACAGACAGCCCCCCAGGGCCCAGCCGGACCCGCCGCCAGCCCAGCCTACTCCTCCTACCAGCCCACCCCCACCCAGGGCTATCAGGTAGGATCAGCCTGCGCCCCTCCCCCAGAGGCCCCTGTGAGGTGCCCGCCCAGCCCTTCTCCCAGCTCCTCACACTCCTCACAGGCCTTCCCTCCACAGACGGTGCCCTCCCAGCCCCCGCAGCCCACCGGCGTGGGCTACATGGGGAGCCAGGCGGTGTCCATGGGCTACCAGCCCTACAGCATGCAGGTGAGACCACACGGGGCATCCGACAGGCAGGTCCTTCTGATCCCCCTCCCCCCAACTGGGCTCCCCAGCTGCTCTTCCAAGTCAGAAACTCCCCCACTTGTCTGGTTACAGGGCTGCTTTCTCAATGTTGGGGTTCCTTTCATTCTCCACAGAATCTCATGACTGCCCTCCCCAGCCAGGACGCATCTCTGCAGCCCCCGCCGCAGCCCTACATCTCGGGGCAGCAGCCCATGTACCAGCAGGTGAGCCCCTCCCAGGCCACCACCTGGGCCCTGGCCGTCTGTGGGGGGCTGTCCTGGGAAGAGTCCCGCGGGAAGGCCACTCGGCCCGCAGACCCTGGGTGCACGCAGCGTCCTGGGGGGGGGGGGGGGGGGTGGAGCAAACCACGTTGACTTCAAGCTCAGCTCTGTAGGCGCTGTCGGGATTCCGGGGTGGGCCCTGCTGGGGCGTGAAGCTCAGAGCCCAGACAAGTGGGGGGGGCGCACCCTGGGCTGGAGGAGACCAGGGACAAGGCTGGGGTGGGGTGTTCTAGAGCAGCCAGTAGAGGGGGAGCTGGGCCTGGGGAGGAGCACCAATGGCCTCTTGTCCCCCAGATGGCACCTGCTGGCGGCCCCCCCCAGCAGCCTCCGCCCGTGGCCCAGCAGCCGCCCGCACAGGGGCTGCAGGTGCAGGGCAGTGAAGCCCAGCTCATCTCCTTCGACTGACCAGGCCAGCGCGCTGCCCAGAGTAACACTACGTTCCCCGAGACCGCCGCCTCCATCTGACTAGCGTCCTGTCCCCTCCTCTGCTCTCCTCGCTCTCCCCTCCTCCATGTAGGGCCCCTGCCCCCAGCCCGCCTTTCTGTCCTCACCTGTGCTCACCCTTCAGGCTCCACCTCCTGTCCCTGAGTTGGCCTCCGACCTCCTTCCCCACGGCCGGGCCTGGGGTGGGAGGTGGGGGTGAGCCCCAGCCTGGATGTCAGGTCCCTTTGCCCCCCACTCCCGCAGGGGCCTATGGATGACTAGTGTGTGCCCCAGAGCCCTCTAGGCCCCCCCCCAGCTGTCAGCGGGGCTCCTGGCCCCACAGGAAGGGGGGTTAGTCTCCAGCTTCTCTGCTTCTGAGCTGTCATGTCGCCCAGTGCCGCCAGTCAGACAGAATGGATCGGCCGAATAAAGTCTCTTCAACAAGTACCACGCGTCTGCTCAGGGGAAAGGTGCTGGGCATCCCCGCAGGCCAGCCTGGCCCCAGTCCTGGGACGGGCTCGCAGGGCCCGCGGCTCTGGTCCCACTGCAAGGCCAGTAGCTGTAGTTGGAGGAAAATGTTCAAAGTTAGAGTCCGTCGCTTGCATCCAGAACTCAAGGCCTGAGACGCCCAGACCTCCTAGGTGACGGCGGCCTTGGCTCCTCCATGCGGGGCCGGACTAGTGAACAGGCCCAGAGGCCCTTGGAGCGCAGGGCAAAGGCAGGGCCAGGACGCGGAGGTGCGGGGCGGAGGGGCAGCGCCTTGTCGTTTGATATCAAGTCCGCTCAGCGCTGGCTCCAGGCATCACCGTGGCAGCGGCAGAGGATCCCGCCTGTGCCTCTGGCTGCATCTGAAGAGCAGAGCCCAGGCCCTCGGGGCAGGCGCTGCGGCCGGTGTTGGGAGCTGGGCCAGGAGGCGGGCACGGCGCGCGGGGTCCGGGGTCTGGAGACAGAACCAGGGCTGATGCATCCTCTTCTCCTGGGACCCGCTAGCCCGCCGCCCCGGTTCCCTCTCGGGCTATCACAGCCCCAGCACACGCTGCCCGGGAGGCGCGCTCGGTCCCGCGAAGGGAGGCGTCCTCGCTCCCGGGGCGGCTGCACCCACGGACAAAACATGCTCCTTCCCTCCCGCGCCGGCGGGAGAGGCAGCCGTGCCGGCCAGAGCGCAGCGAGCACTCCGCGCATGGTGACCACGGATGCCGAGCCAACGGCAGGAGCCAAAAGCCGCGACCGGCTGACGCGAGGCTCCGCAGGGGCCACTGCGCTGCTCCACACGGACGGGCCCGCCCCCGATTCAGACGGAGCCCGCCCTCAGCTTCGGCCTCCACTGGCCTCCCTTGGCCCGGTCCCTTGTGGGTAATCTCCGCGAGCGAGAGGAAGCCAGCGCGAGGTGCGGCTAGAGCGTCCGTCCCAACTCGTATGCTCGGCGGCCTTGGCAGCTAGAGCGTCCTCCCCAACTCGTATGCTTGGCGGCCCGGACAGCTAGAGCGTCCCTCTCAGCTCGTATGCTCGGCGGCCCTGGCGGCTAGAGCGTCCTCCCCCAGCGCGTATGCTCGGCGGCCCTGGCGGCTAGAGCGTCCTCCCCAGCGCGTGTACTCGGCTGCTCTGGCAGCTAGAGCGTCCCTCCTCCGGGGAGCCTCGTGTGACCTTCCCGCCGGTGGAGCGATGCTGCCGGCGGCTGCTCGCCCCCTATGGGGGCCGTGTCTAGTGCTTAGGGGCGCCGCGCTCCGTTTCGCCAGGTACCGCGGGCTGCCGAGGGCCGGGCGGGCAGAGGGTAGTCCTCAGCCGGCCACCGATGGTTCAGGTCGGGGCAGCAGGCGGGATGTGGAGACACCCCCCCCCCCCTCCCGTGTGGGCCGCGGAGAGTGCCGGGGTGGCCTCAGATCACACGAGACGGGGTCCGCCTTTGCCCGGGCCTCAGTTTCCCCCGCAGCCCAGTGACGTGTAGGACCCCCACCAGTGCATCCGGCGCTCCGGGTTCTGAAAGGCTTTGTGCAGCAAAGTGCATTTACGTGATTGCGTTACCCCGTGAGCTGCTACGGTTCATTCAAACCAGGAAGTTGTTAAGGGCAACATCCTGCAATAATAATGATGATGATAATAATAATAACGAGGGTTTCTAAGGCTTGTAAAGAATATAAAATACAAAGTAGCGGGGAAACCCCCTTGCTCTCGACGTGGAGCCTGGAGGCTGAGAACCCTGGGTTGGGACCACGGGGCTAGACCTGAGCTCGTGGCACCCACCTGCCTGGACTGCCCGTCACCCGCCTGTGCCGGCTGACCGTTCTGTTTGCATGGGGTCTAGGCAACAGGTGCCGCGCGTCAGCACCGTGCGGCTGATGCGATGCAGCAGCCATCGGAGGGGAGAGGCCCTCGCCGGCGCACCCCTAGATAACGCCCCCAAGGAGTACCCCCCCAAGATCCAGCAGCTGGTCCAGGACATTGCCAGCCTCACGCTCCTGGAGATCTCAGACCTCAATGAGCTCCTGAAGGTATTGCCGGCCGGGCCTGGGCAGTGGGGTCGCTCCTGGTGCATTTGGGGGGAGGGTTTGGTCAGTTGTGGAAAGTGTGCTCCCTGGGTGCAGGGGTGTGCCGGGCTCGTCCCTGCGCGTGTGTGGGTGTGACCGCCAGCTTCTGAGACTGTCTCCTCTGTCCCTGCAGAAAACGCTCAAGATCCAGGAGGTGGGGCTCATGCCCATGGGGGGCGCAATGCCCGCTGCTGCCCCTGCCGCCGCAGCCCCCGAGGTGAGCCAGGCGCTGGCCTCCGCAGAGACCTGTTTCTCTGGTGCCCGGTTCCCCGCTTCCCTCACGTCCTGAATTCTCTCTTTGTCCCTCATCTCTGTCCTGCGCCAGTCAACACGCCCCGCACATCCGTGTGCTTCCAGCTGAGGCTCTGGTCAGCCTCCCTGGGGCCGAGGACGGGCAGGGCCCTGCCCACTGGGGACCTGTGTCCAGTGGGGACTGTTTCCAGGGGAGGGAAACAATGAGCTGATGGAAGGGAAAGGACAGGAAGAGGTTGTGTTGAGTAGTAGGACTTGCGAAGTTTGGGGGGTGGGGGGGGAGCTGGGGGGAGGGGAGGGGGACAGGCCAGAGGAAGGCCCTGAGGAGAGGAGCCTGAGGAGTTGCGGGGGACGGCAAGGCGTTCCCGGCTCGCGGGCCATGAGCATGTCCAGGGCTGGAGAGGAGCGGGCGGTGGGGGCAGCTCCACGGGCTGGGGTCTGCGAGGAAACCAGCAGGCTTGAAGCTGCACACTGATTTGCAGGGTCTTGTTGTTGCTTTTGTGTGTGTGTGTTTTTCCATATTTGTTATTTTTTAAAATCTCCAATTACCCACAAGTAGAAATAATCGCACCCTCACCGGCCTTAGAAATAACGAAGGTTTTGCCTCATGTGTGTCTCCTTCCCTGAAGCTGAAGGCAGGTTTCCGGCCTGTCCTCTCTCCTGGGGCCCTGCACACCCCTCTCTGACAGCACCGGTAGCCTGGCGCCATTTGCACAGCAGAGGGCATTGGCCTTGACTCCGACCCCAACTCTTCCCACCTCAGGGGCTCTGCCACCCCCGCGGCCGCTTGGCGAAGGCGGGGGCTGAGCTGGTGGCACTGGTGCTGAGACACGGCGCTGGCTTGGCCGGGGCTGGCATGGCGCTGCTTCTCTATCATGTCGTTTCACCCACAGAGCCCTTCTGGGGTTGCTCTTCCCTGTCTCACAAGTTACAGTTTTAAAAGGATGAGTTTTGGGGGCCGGGGAGGGAGGCAGTCATCACAGCCTCTGGAGAGCTGGGAAGGGTTCTGGGTGGTGGAACCCAGTCTGACCGAGGAGTGGACGAGGTGGGGGAGGGGCGGCCGGCCGGGCATCTCTCCTGCCAGAATCGCGGGGACCCACAGCCCAGGAGCAAAGGTGCCTGCTCCCCTCGTCCCCCCTCACCCAGCCCCCTCCCTCCCGCCCTCCCCAGGCGGTGGAGGAAGAAGACATCCCCAAGCAAAAGGAGCAGACACACTTCACCGTCCGCCTGACCGAGGCGAAGCCGGTGGACAAAGTGAAGCTGATCAAGGAGATCAAGAACTACGTCCAGGGCATTAACCTTGTGCAGGTGGGTGCGGGGGCCCCTGCGGGCAGGCTGGGTGCGGGAGCCTGGGCGGCGTCTGAGTCTGACTCGGCTCTCGCAGGCGAAGAAGCTGGTGGAGTCGCTGCCCCAGGAAATCAAAGCCAACGTCGCCAAGGCCGAGGCGGAGAAGATCAAGGCTGCGCTGGAGGCGGTGGGCGGCACCGTGGTCCTGGAGTAGGCTCCCTGAGAACTGTGGACTGGGGTCCCTGGGACCCGGGAGAGGCCCGGCCGCCCCGCCCAGCACCCAGGCTCAGCTGACCGGCACCTCAGAGCAGAAGGGCACACCCACCCGCCACTGCGCGCAGCCGGGCCCTGGATCAGGCATGGACCTACCGAACGGGCAGGGGGCAGCGCTGCCTGTGGGCACCGGGCCACACTCTGGACCGCCCACGGGTTTACCACGCGCCCCCTGGTGGCCGCTGAGAAAATACATGGTTTGGGCCATGCACGCTGCTTCTGTGTCCTCGGCAGCGGGAGGGGCTCTGCAGGTGATCAGCAGCGTTGGTTAACCGTCCTGGCCTGGTGGCAGCATGGCTGATGCCAGACCTTTACCCAGGAGCTGGGTGTGCGGCTCCCGCCCCGGCCGGCAGGGGTGAGGCTGTGCCCCAGGGCCTTGGGCCAGAGCAGGAAGGAGGGAGCGGGAGGGGGGCTGCAGTGTGCCGGGGAACACCCCCAGCTTTGCCTGTTGGAAGGATGACCTGCAAGTTGTGTGGGACCACAGGGGGCGCTGTGTCCAGGAGTCGGCCTCTGGTGGGGCAGCTCCTGGGTGGGCGAGCCCAGTGGTTCCCAAGCCCGGGGGCTGGCCCCCCACCTCCACCTCCCGTGTGTGCTCCCCCTGGACCTCGTCGGTCTAAGGAGGCGGGAAGGCTGCCCCCTGACCCACAGAGCTTCCCCACCCACCCCAGGGTTAATGATTCTCCATCAGCAGATCTCTGGGTGCGCCTTCCCCCAGAAGTGGCTGCTGGGGCCGGGCATGGCCTGCTGAGCTGCCTGCCTGGGGGGGAAGGAGGGGGAGGAAGTGGGCTGAGCTCAGACCCTCGTCCGCTTTCCCAAGGAGCCAGGGGCACAGCTGGGGTGATGGGGCCTCTGCCTCATCCTGTGGTCGCTGCTCAGAGGGAGTGACCCTGCCTCCGGGCCCTCGAGCCAAATGCCTTCTGTGCGCCAGGCGCAGCCGGCACCCAGTCTGCTTGGTGCTCTGCACCCACTCACAGTCAGGGCCCTGGGGTCCTGCCCCTCCACTCCTGGCTCCCCCCGGATGTGCTGCAGCCTGCAGGTGGCCCAGACAGTGTCAGACCTGGGGACCCCGGTGGCCTGTGCCCCAGGGATGGCCCTGGCCCTGGGAGGGGGATCTGTGGGTCCCAAGTTCCCCACTGGTGCCCACACAGCACCTGACAAGACCCCATCGGATCCCAGGAGGAATTAGCATTCCTGCTCTCTGCCCAGCCTGATGAGAAGGTCACGGGACACGGCTGAGAGGGAGCTGGAGCCGACTCGTGCCTCCTGCCTCCACCGACCTCCCGTTCCAGGGAGCCTGGTGTCTGCCAGGCCACCCACGTGGCTCCGTCCTCCCTGCTGGGCTTCAGGCTCCAGGAGAAAGTGCAGACGCCCCAGAACAGACCCCGGGCCCCACCCGAGAGCCCGGCCTGGCTGGCAGCCCTGGCCTCAGACGTGCCTGTCTGCCCGGCAGCCCCGGGCGTGTGGCCAGGCTGGGCTCCATCTGACCCCACTCGGCGTCCTCTGTCCCTGACCCGCAGTGTCCCTGCATTTCCCACCTCCCGGGTTCTGACCTGGCTTTGCCAGGAACCACATTTCAGACGCTGCTCTTTGCATTTTTATTTTTAAAAGTGTCCAGGCTGCTGAGCCTCCCGCCAGCCCCTCCCAATTTGAGGACGGTCCCCAGTGTGAGTGCTGGGGGTTCAGAGACCCCTGCTCAGCAGCTTCCCCCTGGGGCTGATCCCAACACCAATGAGGCAGGTGTGGGGGGCAGGGAGTGGACTCGGGGGCACCTCACCTCCCTGGGACACCTGCCAAGGAGCACGCCTCCTGCCTCCTGGCCGCTGGGCTGTTCGTTCTGGTTTTCTGTTCGCTAGAAATTGATTTAGAGAGAAACACGGACTTCCGCCCACCTGTGCATTCACTGGCTGGTCCTGTAGGTGCCCTGGCGGGTCGAACCACAGCCCTGGTGCTCGGGGAGGACACTAACCACGCACCCAGGCCAGGGCAGCTCTGGCTGTGACCTCAGAGCCTGTGCATCACCAAGAGCCACTCCGCTTCCTGGTGGGACCCCCCCCCCCTTTCCTCCCGGGAATTCCTGCCACCCTCCTCCCCCCGGCGAGCCCCTGGGTGGTGTTTTTGCCTAGTTTGCATCTGACATCTTTTAAAAAAAGATCCACACCCCAGGACATGCTTAGCGAGAGGAGGGGAAAGGGAAGCACCGATGTGAGAAACCTGGATGCGCTGCCTTCCACATGCGCCCTGGCCCTGACCGGAAATCAAACCAGCAACCCTCTGGGCACAGGAACCGGCTCGGCCAGCTGACATCAATCCCTCCCCCTTCAGATCAGCCAGCTGCCCCGGTGCCAACGGCCCCTGCCCCCTGGATCCCAGCATTTCCGGGCAGGACACCATCTGCTCTTCACTGCCCAGCGATGACCTCAGGGTCAGAGGCCGGGTGGGGGGGTCCGGAAGACCTGGCTCCTGAGTCTCCAAGTGGCCGCTCCAGTTAAAGGGATGAATAGATGGCGGGTTTGCTCACATCCGGGAGACCGGCTGGTGCCGAGGCCATGAGGCCAGGCTCTGCGGGTTCAGGGGACCAGGAGCGGTTTCCCCGGTGCTCCTCCCCCTTCTCCCTTGGGCTGGGGGCTGCAGTGGCCGAGCCGCAGGTCCTGCCCTGGGGGAGGGGTCTGGCTGTGCCCCCCTGAGATCGGAGGCTGCCCGGCAGAGAACGTCTGGGCCCCCAAGATCCTGCCTGGAAGTGGCCCTGGGGACGCGGCTCCCCTCTGGGCTGGGGGCCCGCCAGCACTTCCTGCCGCCGGCTGCGGGCGGAGGAGCGAGGAGCGTGGGAGCCGACGGGCAGGGGCAGACGCCCCGCTGAAGGTCGCCCGGGTCGGTTCCCAGGACTCCAGCCCGGGGCGGCCTGGTCGGAGGGAGGCCTGAGGCCGGACGTGGCTGGGAAGTCCGGGCTGAGGCGGTGTCTGGGCTCGGACTTGCCTTTCGCCCCTAGTTTTACTGTAACCGCAGGCCGGTCCCCTCCCCGGGGATTCGCTGCTTCTGGCAACTGCACGTGTCCGGGGAGGACCCCACCCTGCGGGGCGGGTGCTCGCGGAGGTGGGGGCTGGCAGAGCCGCGTGCCCCAGGCGTGGGGGGGTCCTGGGGGTATCGGGGCGGCCCGCGCAGCAGGCTCCGAAGTCGGCGCGGCCTGCAGAGCCGGGCAGTGGAATCCGCGGCTCCGCCTCCCGTCCGTGCGACCGCGGCCCCTTTAAGGCAGGAGGGGCGTGGTCTCGTCGGCCCCGCCCCGGATGCGGTCCCGCCCCGCGCCGCGCGGGCGTATTGGCTGCGCCGGGCGCGGGTGGCGGACGCGCTTTGAACCCGGCGCTGGGGCGGCGCAGCCGGTCCGGGTCGGGCTTGGGGTCCGGGCTGGGTCGGGTCGGGCCGGGCAGCCGGCGCAGCGACGGGCATGGCGGCCGAGTCGCGCGTGTCGCGCTGGTACTTCGGGGGCCTGGCCTCGTCCGGGGCCGCCTGCTGCACGCACCCGCTGGACCTGCTCAAGGTGAGGGCGGCGGGCCGGGCTCCGCGCCACCCGGGCTCCCGCACCCGCGGACACCGGCCGGCTGGCCTGGCCCCGAGGACCGCGGCCCACGGGCTCGCTGCCCCGCCCGCAGACGCCGCCGGGAGCGGGAGGGAGGGCGGCCCCAGGCCTGGCCCGGGGGGGTGGGCGCCCGGTGCCCGGCTCCTGGAGGCCTCTCTCTCCCGGCCCGGCGCTTCGCTACCTGTGCCCTCGGGCAGCCACCTGGCCTCGCCGCCCGTGCCCCCCGCTCCTCCGAGGACGTCGTCCAGCCCGACGACAGTTTAGGGGCGGTTCCCGCGGACCCAGCTGCCCCCCGCGCGGCGGGGCCGGCACAGCGGAGGGCGGGGGAGGAGGGAGGTGGCCTGGCGAGTGGCACGGGCGCCCCCGCTCGGGCCGCTCCCCCCTGGCCTGGTGGGTGCCTGGCAGCCTCGGGCCCCGCGCACACGGGTCCTGCCCGCTGATGGGGCCGAACAAGATAGAACTTCCTTGTCTCCAGGGCCGGCCAAGCCCTGTCTCACCACAAGGAACAGAGGAGAAAGGGCCGCCCGGGGAGCTGGCACTGTGTCACGTGGGGCCCGTGGGCAAGGGGCAGCCACCGCCCCCCCCCAGCTGTCTGTGCCCACGTGGCCTGTGCCGGCTGACCAGGCGCCCCGGGCGCCCCTGCCTGTGGGCATGCTTGCAGCAGTCCTTCTCCTGAAGGGAGGGCATTGCCTCTCTAATGAGTAAAAATGCCACCTGATGCATCCCAAGGGCAAGAGCCAGGGGAGCAGGGCCGGGGGGCTGCCCTGCTGTTAGAAGCTGAAGCTGGTAGTCCGGCTGCCGGGCCTGAGGCCTGGCTGGGCTTGGAGGGTGCGCTGACCAGCAGAGGGCACGGCAGTGAGCGGGAGGTGCACCTGGCTTCCCTCCCTCACCTCTGCTGGTTTGCTCTCTGGGTGCCCTCGCAGGTCCCCAGCCCCACCTCAGGGTCAGGCTCTGACCAGGAGCAGGCACAGCCTCCAGGGGCTGCAGAGCCCTCCCAGCCTGGGCTGGCCTAGCCCCCTGCCCATTGTCCCAGGCCCCTTTGGGCGTCACTGCCCCTTGCCCTGCCCCCCGTCCCCGGGTGCTGTTTTGCTGCCAGGACGAGTCAGGGGAGGCAGGTGGCCACAGGAGCCCAGCTCCCCTCTGCCCGGGAGTGTGGCCTTGTGCCGGGGGTGGGGGCCGCCGTGGAAGAGGCCCAGCGGGGTTTTACCTCTCAGCATGGTCATTGGGGAAATTATTTTAAAGCTCCTGGATCTTTCTCTGTCTCATGTCCTGACTTGATCCTCAGCCTCTTCTTGCCTGGGCGGGAGCTGCTGCCCGCGTGGCTGCCCTGACCGCAGGCCCAGTGCCCACTGTCCTGCCCAGCTTGGCTCGGGCAGCAGGAGGACGCGGCTTGTGTCCCTGAGCTGGGCACAAGCCCTCCATCCCCACCTGTGCTGCTCCCCAACCGGAGGCCCCGGGAAGAGCCTGAAGGGGGTGGGGGGAGGGTGTATCCGCTGAGTTCCTTCATCCTCACAGCACAACGAGAGAAACTGAGGCCCGGGCCAGTGACCTGCCCACCCCGCCCGAGGGTGTGACCGCCTGAGGCGGCCATTCCCTTCTGCCCTGCCCAGGCCCCCCCTGCCTCTCCCGTCCCCATGCTTCTGAGTCCCCATAATTTTGTCCCCTGCGAAGTGAGTGAGGCTGAACAGTGGGGCTCTGGAGCCACCCTGCTGGGTCCTGCCTCCGTTTCCTCATCTGTAAAATGGGGCGGCCCATCCCCACCCACAGCAGGTGCCCAGAGGACTCTCTCGCGGGCCTGGTGGGTGCGCCCGTCCCCTGGTATTGTCACTTGTAAACAGTAGGTTGGTGGCTGGCATGGCATGTGTTCCAGCGCCACCCCCTGGCTGGGTGCCCTCAGGAGGCCCTTTGCTGCCCTGAGCCTGTTTCCTGTCTCTAAAGGGGGAGGTGGCAGCACTTGGCCACAGGGGCGTGGGGGAGGGTAGTGACTCCGTGTCTGCCAGGCGGCAGCCGCTCAGCAGGTGTGTCCCTGCCCCCCAGGTGCACCTGCAGACGCAGCAGGAGGTGAGGATGCGCATGACGGGCATGGCGCTGCAGGTGGTGCGCTCCGACGGCGTGCTGGCGCTCTACAATGGCCTGAGCGCCTCGCTGTGCCGACAGGTGCCTCCCGCGGTCCCGGTCCCAGCGCCCCCGTGCCGAGCAGCCCACGCGGGCAGAGGGGAGGGCTGGCTCCGACGTGGCTGTGCCCCCTACCTACCGTGGGTGCCCATGCCCATCGAGGCCACTCTCTCCCTTTTGAGGCTGCTCAGGAGGAAGGAACCCCAGGGCTGGGAGCTGGCGCGCCTGGGTGGGCGCAGGGCGGGGCGGTGTGGGGTGTGCTGCTCCCACCCTCACAGCTGGAGACGGCCACTTACAGATGGGGAAACCGAGGCTTGGGCTCAGCCACCTGTTGGCCGTGCGGCCTTGGGAGGGCTTCTCATCCCTGTGGTCCGGGTGATGCCCGTGCACCCAGCCAGCCGAGGGGGGGTGGGGGGGGGAGGCAGGGGTCCATGTCGTGCTGCCCTGTCCTGCCCCTCCCCCTGCACGCTCTGAGCCGGCCCCTCCCCCCAGATGACCTACTCCCTGACTCGGTTCGCCATCTACGAGACCGTGCGGGACCGAGTGGCCAAGGGCAGCGAGGGGCCCCTGCCCTTCTACAAGAAGGTGCTGCTGGGCGCCGTCAGTGGTGAGTGGGGGCGGGGCTGAGAGGGGCCGCGGGGCAGCAGGGACACGGCCGGGTCACGTGCTGGGTCTGGTCTGTTGCCAGGTTGCGTCGGAGGCTTCGTGGGGACTCCCGCCGACATGGTCAACGTCAGGTCAGTGGCCCCCAAGGTCAGGGTCTGCTGTCCCCCGACGGGCCGGCCGAGCCTGTGGGGCGAGCCGGGGAGCCGCCCCCTGAGCCGCGTCCTTGTTTCAGGATGCAGAACGACGTGAAGCTGCCCCCCAGCCAGCGCCGGAAGTGAGTCGGGTGCTCTGCCCTCGGGGTGTGGCTGGTGGGCGCTGTGCGGGGCGCCGGCGGCTTTGGGAACCGGGCCTGAGGCTTCCCTGGGGAGGGTGTGGGACCAGGGCGGGTGGCGGGCGGCCGGTCACGTTTCCTCGGAGGGTGGCCTAGAAGTCCGAATTGGGCTTTTCACGGGTTGGGAGCTGGGGTTTTTAATGATGAAAGCACCGTTTTCCGTGATGTCTAAGGCGCTGTCACTGTTTGTGGACAGACGCCCCGGTGAACCCGTCACGGGTGTCAGTTCAGGGGGACGGTGGCTCCGTGCCAGCCCGCTGTGCACCCTCCGACCGGGTGACGGGGCAGGAAGGGGCGGGCAGGGCGCCCCGTCCTCCTGTCCTGGTATCAGCCGGGGCCTGTGCCCAGGTGTGCTCCTGTGGGTCTCTGGGATCTTAGGGCCGAGGTCCCCGAGGGGGCAGGCTGCTCTGAGCTCCGGAACAGCCCCGGCCTTGGCTTCTGCGAGGGGCGGGGGGCTTGTCCTGGGGAACCCCCTCCTCACCCCCCAGGGAGCCTCACGTGGGCCCGTTCTGTGTCCCGGCAGCTACGCCCACGCCCTGGACGGCCTGTACCGCGTGGCCCGTGAAGGTGAGGAGCAGGCCCTGGCGGGGCAGGAGCCGGGCAGGAGCGGGGGCAGGGACCAGGCAGGGGCCGGGCAGGGGCCAGGCAGCCCCAGCTGGGAGCCCAGAGCCCGAGGAGGCAGAGGGGAAGGAGCATCGTCCAGAGCTGGGGGCAGCCTGGTGGATGTGGCCGGTGCCCCCCTTCTCCTGCCTCCGCAGAGGGTCTGAGGAAGCTGTTCTCGGGTGCAACCATGGCCTCCAGTCGGGGGATGCTGGTCACTGTGGGTCAGGTAGGCCTTCTACGGGGGAAGGGGCTCAGGGGAGCCTCCGGGAGTCCCTGCCCTGCGTACCCCCCCCAGAGACCACAGAGGAAGGTGGTGGCCACAGGTGGGCACTGGGAAGTGGGCACAGGCAGGTCGGGTGTATGGCCTTGGGCAGGCCCCTCCCTGCCTGGTCTCACCTGTCCAGCAGCCCCAGTACATGAGGTGACTGCCAGCAGGCGCTAGTTGATCCGGGTGGTGTCCCTCTGGGCCCCGTCGGCGCTCCCAGGAGCCGGGGCGGCCGGGCCCTGACCTCCCTGCACCCACAGCTGTCCTGCTACGATCAGGCCAAGCAGCTGGTCCTGGGCACGGGGTACCTATCGGACGGCATCTTCACACACTTCATCGCCAGCTTCATCGCCGTGAGTGCCAGGCGGGGCGGGGGTGCTGGATGCCCCCCTCAGAATGGAGGTGCCAGGCCGGGAGAGGGGCACCCCGACCCAGGCTAGAGTGGTCAGTGCCCCCTGCAGCCCTGGGTCGCCTCCCAGGCCTGGGCAGGCCTGCGGGGGTTGAGGGACTCCCAGGCGTCGTACGTGGCAGGCCCGTTGGTGACGTGCCCCCGCCCCCCCCCCCGGGCGGGTGTGCCACGGTCCTGTGCCAGCCCCTGGACGTGCTGAAGACCCGCCTGATGAATTCCAAGGGCGAATACCAGGTGAGCGGGGCCTGGGGGTCCCTGCCCTGCAGCTGCGAGGCTCTGGCCCTGGGGTGGCCAAGAGCTGTTCTCTCCCCCCGATGGGTCCCTCCCAGCTGCCTCCAAGCAGCCCTGGCCCCGTGTGTCCCGTCAGAGTCTGATATACTAACTGGCAGGTGCCCAGTGCCCACCCAGTGAGCACGACCTGGGCGCCACGGTGCCCTGATGGTGCCCACGGCGCCTTCTGTGTCTTCACGCGCCTGCGGCCCTGCCCCTGTGCTCCCCACCCCACTCGGTGCCCGACAGCCAGACTGCTGCTGGCACCCTGGGCCACCCCCCCCCCCGCCCGCCCTCAGGGCTCTGGTTCTGCCGCATCAGCAGTCGGCTGGGCAGCGGCCGGGCGGCCATGACCTTTTGGCTCACACGTCCCATGTCTGAATGTCGGCCGCGCTGTGCACTGGCCTGCAGCCCGGCTGTGGGAGGGGGTTGTGCTCCGTGGGGGGGGCGCGGCTCCATCTGCCTCACTCGTTCCTGCAGGGCGTGCTGCACTGCACCATGGAGACGGCGAAGCTGGGGCCGCTGGCCTTCTACAAGGTTCGGGGGGGGGGGGGGGAGTGCGTGGGTGGCACGGTGGGGGGGGGGTGCCGGGGGTCAGGGGCGCACAGTGGGTGGGGGCTGGGGTCCCCCAGCTTTCACTTCGCCCTCCCCCCCCCCAGGGCCTCGTGCCTGCCGGCATCCGCCTCATGCCGCACACCGTGCTCACGTTCGTCTTCCTGGAGCAGCTTCGCAAGCACTTCGGCGTCAAAGTGCCGTCCTGACGGGGCGTGGAGCGGCCGGCCTGCCCGCTCCTTCCCGAGGCCACGCGGCCGGCGCCGCCCTGAGCCCGCACCGGCCACAGAGCTCGGCCGCCCCCTCCCCGGCTGGACCGCCTGGCCTCCTGCCCGGTCAGAGCTCCTTCCAGCAGCGTGGCCCCCACCCCGGTGGCCCCGTAGCTTCGCCTCCCCTCACCCGCCCCCACTCCCTGCCCTGCACACGGACCACACGCCGAGGGAGGCGTCCGGGCCCCGCTCCCTCCCCCAGCAGTTGGCACCGGAGGTGGGCGCGCTGGGCTGTCCAGTTTTCTGGGGTTCCTGCCCCTCTTCTGGCCCCGAGGGTTCTTTCATGGAGCAGCTCCTGGGCCCTCAGCACCGTCCGCAGCTCCCTCAGGGCAGTGGCTGCTGCACCTTTGTGGGGGGCGGGGGGGGGGGCGGCCTCCATGATGCTCACAGGTAGCTGAGCCCAGCGGACCACAGAGCCAGGTGCGAGGCGGGCACCACGGGCGCGAGTGCGGGGCCCTTGCCTTCGCACACCAGCCGACCCCAGCTGCTCCAACAGTTAGTTTGCCAAAACTCAGCGCCCAGAGGCCACTGCTGTCCCTGGGCTGAGCCGTGTCCCTCACTGGCCGCGCCAAGCCTCCCCCTCCCGCGCCCCAGGCAGAGGCGGGCTGTGGGGTCCTCGGGGCCTCCCTGCAGAATGTGCCCCAAGACCCCAGCAGCTGATCAGCCAGAACCCGCCGGCTCTGCTGCCAGCGCAGCCTGTTCTCCCCAAATGGGCCGGCTTCGTCACTGCTCCCGCCTCAGGGCTGTGCCCCCAGCAGGGGCTTGGCAATAAAGGACAGTGAGCTGCCCCTGGTTTGTGGGTCCCTGTGTCCAGGCCGCCCGCTGGTCTGTGGCCACCTTGCTGTCCGAGGGCAGGAGGGCTCCCTGCACCCTCCCAGGAGGGCTGGGCTCACGGGGGGTCAGAGTGGAAGCCCAGCCCTGCCTGGTGCCTTGAGGCCTGTGGGGTGAGGGGTTGGGGTGTGGGTGAGGGATTGGGGTGTGGGTGAGGGGTTGGGGGTGTGGGTGAGGGGTTGGGGTGTGGGTGAGGGGTTGGGGTGTGGGTGAGGGGTTGGGGTGTGGGATGGCAGCCCTAAACCAGCATGGGGCGTGGGTATGTGTGCGAGCTGAGAGTTCTGGTTGGTGCTGCGCTCCCAGGTCCCGCTCACCTGGACCCCACAGGACCCTGCCCAGCGGCACCTGGAACGAGAGACCCCTTAGCTGAGCTGATGGCCCTCCCCTTCGTTGTGGGAGGTGCCCGAGTCCGAGCCGGGCTCCTGGACACTGGGTGCTGGTCCAGCAAGCCCAGGGCTGGGGAGAGCCTGGACCGGAGGCCCTCACACGGGCGGGGCGGGGGAGCTGGGCACTGCCCGGGATAGAGCCCCGCAGGCCAGGAGGTCCGGGCGCCCAGCCCGCTCAGACCTCAGGGCCCCAACCCCGTCGGAGCATCGAGCAGATAAGTCGGATTGTACAAGGTGGCGATGGTTGCACAGCTGTGACCACGTTGAAAACCGCGGAACCTCAATGAACCAGCCGCCCGCACCCACCTCCCACCCCGCTCCCGTGGTGAGCACCCAGGCCCTCCGCACCCCTGGAGTGTTTGGGAGCAAACCCTGAAGTCACGTCAGTTTTTGGTGGTGGTTTCTTTTGTTTTTGGCTAATCCTCAACCGAGGATATTTTTCCATTGATTTTTAGGGCGAGTGGAAGAGAGGGAAAGACAGAAGCATTGATGTGAGAGAAACATCTATTGGTTGCCTCCTGCCCGGGCCCCCACCAGCCCAGGGAGGAGCCTGCAACCGAGATCCATGCCCTTGACCAGAATTGAACCCGGGATCCTTTGGCCTGCAGGCCGGCACTTCATCCACTGAGCCACACTGGCTGGGGCTGGAAGTCAGGTCATTTATAGGGAAATACTTCATGTCTGTGAAAGCCTGAGGGATGCGACCACAGCAGCCTCCGGTCAGTCCTCCGGCCTCAGGACCGCCTGGGTCTCCTTCAGCTGCTTCGACTTGGAGCACCAGCCTGGCACCGACTCACCTGCGTGCCGGTGTGCCCTGGGCAGCGGGCAGTTGGCATCTCACCAGCCTCCTCCCAGCCTGACCCCCATGATGCCACGCCTGCTGGGCCAGGACAGAGGGAGAAAGTGCCCCGTCTGGTTGGGTGGTTTGGCAGGGACGGGCCTGGCCTGGGCCCAGTGCAGGGCAGAGAGCAGAGGGTGGGGTAGATGGGACAAGGTTTCCAGGGCACAGAGGCGGGCGTGGGCAGAGCTCCCCGGGGCCTCCTGGCACAGAGCACCCAGCACAGCAAAAAGGCTGGGAGCAGGGCTGGGCGCCTCCCCCTCCCCCCCGGGAGGTTTTGGTTCAGGGCCCACAGCTGGCATTGCTGGGGTCAGCACCAGTCTGGAGTGTGAGGGAGCCTGGGCCACCCCGCCCTCGGTGGGTCCCGCTGTGCCCGCCTTGGGTCCTCTGGCCCCCGGAGGGCGGGGGGCGGGAGGGAAGCAAAAAAATGCACACTCAGGAGAGCAAGCCCCGCCTTTCCAGTCAGCCAGGCCTTTTCCTTAAAGAAGGACTTTGTCTGGTTTACAAAAAGCTGCACAAAGGGCCCTGGCTGGTGTGGCTCAGGATAGAGCGTCGGCCTGCGGACTGAAGGGTCCCGGGTTCAATTCCAGTAAAGGGCACAGGCCCAGGTTGCAGGCTTGATCCCCAGTGGGGGGTGTGCAGGAGGCAGCCGATCCATGATTCTCATCATTGATGTTTCTCTCTCTCCCTCTCCCTTCCTCTCTGAAATCAATGAAAATATATTTTTTTTAAATGTCAGCGAGGGCACCAGGCAGATTCAGCGGAAAAGCCAGGCTTTGCTTATTTTTAAAATATATTTTATTGCCGAAACCGGTTTGGCTCAGTGGATAGAGCGTCGGCCTGCGGACTGAAAGGTCCCAGGTTCGATTCCGGTCAAGGGCATGTGCCTGGGTTGCGGGCATATCCCCGGTAGGAGATGTGCAGGAGGCAGCTGATCGATGATTCTCTCTCATCGATGTTTCTAACTCTCTATCTCTCTCCCTTCCTCTCTGTAAAAAATCAATAAAATATATTTTTTAAAAAAAAAAAATATATATATATATATATATTATTGATGTCAGAGAGGAGGGGAGAGAGAGAGAAACATCAATGATGAGAGGGAGTCACCGTTTGGCTGCCTCTTGCGGGCCCCACATTGGGGACCGGGAATCGAACCGAACCCTGACCTCCTGGCTCACAGGTCACCGCTCAGCCACGGAGCCACCACCCGGCCGGACACAGGGTTAACAACAACAGGCGCCGGAGGCCGAGCAGCCACATGCACAGGACTTTGGACCCTTCCCGCCCTCGGACGTTAACACCAAGCGATCCCAGAGCCAAAGGGCAGAGCTCACAACACACGTAGACGCGGGCGGGAGGAACAAGCAGAGGCCCTGCCCTCAGAATTCGGGAGGAGGGAGCGCGCCCTGGTCCGTCCTGTCCTCACACTCGCCCCGTTCCCACGCCAGGGTCCCCGTCCCGTCCTCACACTCGCCCCGTTCCCACGCCAGGGTCCAGTCCCTGTCCGGGGTGCGAGGCATCTGGAGGGAGGCACGGGCTCTGCTTGTCCTGTTTGTGAGGTCACCCCGCCTCCCACGGGTGGAGGGGCCCCTGGGAGGAGCTGCTCTGCTCCCCAGTCTCCAGGCTTCCTGCCTGCCTGGTGTCCCACAGGAAGTGGGGTTCCACAGGAAGTGCCTCGGCGAGGGGGGCCCTCACCGGCAGGCCCTGCGCGAGTCGGACCAGGCCTGGGGTTCCAGGGCGAGGCTGGTGTTTGCGGGCCGTCAGCGCTGCGGCCACAGGAACGTCCCGGGCCAATGCCCGAAGTAATGCCTCCCCCGGGTGAACCCTCAAGGAGGTCGTAGCCCGGAATCGGACCCTGGCCTCCTCGCGCTTCCGTACCCCTTACACCTCTGCTGCTGCTCTTTTTTCCTTGGCTAATCCTCACCCCAGGACGCTTTTCCATTGATGTTTCCAGAGTGGAAGGGGGGGGAGAGAGACTTCCACGTAAGGGAGACGCCGATTGGTGCCTCACCAGGGCCAGGGGTGGCACCTGCAACCCGGCATGTGCCCTCGGCCGGAATCGGACCCAGGACCCTTCAGTCTGCAGGGCAACACTGTCCCCTGAGCCAAACCAGCCGGGCTAGACATGCATTTTTAAAAAGAAGAAAAAGTCACTCCTGCCCTGGTCAGTGGCTCACTGGGTTGAGCGCCATCCCGTGCACCAAGAGGTTGCCAGTCGGGGCACAGGCCCGGGTTGTGGGCTCGATCCCCAGAAGGGGGCACACAGCAAACCAATGGTGTTCTCCCACTGATGTCTCTCTCTCCCTCTCCCTTCCACTCTGAAATCAATAAAAATATTTTTTAAATAAGGCGAAATCCTAACAACAACCATGAGCGCCACCGCTCACCATCTATGGCCCCTAACCCTGACCCACCCCAACCCCAGCATGAACCCTGACCCCAGCACTGACCCCAAGGGTGGCGCCCCCGCCCCCGGGGTCCATCCTACCGCCTCTCACAGGGCGTGTCTTCCCGGCTCCTCCTCCGTCTCCCAAACCCAGGAACTGACCCTCCCCCCCAGACCCAGTTGAGGATGGAGAGGCCTGGGTGGGGGTGACCACCTGGGGCCCGCAGACACAGCAGAGCCTGTCACTCCCCGCGCGGCCGCTGGGGGGCAGCCGGGCGACGCTGACCGCGGAGCGGGTGGGCGTGGCCGGCGGGGCGGGGCTTGGGGCGGAGCCCGGGGAGGGGGCGTGGCCGGGCGGCGGCCGGGCCCGGACGCGGAGTGGAAGGCGCGGCAGAGGGGGAGCTGGCGGCCCGTTTTCCGGGGTTTGGCCGCGACAATTCGAACTGGACAACTCAGGCCCAGATCCGGTCCGAGCCGCCCTCCCGGCGAGGAGGCAGCAGGGCCCGAGGGAGGGGGGCCGCCGGGCGGGACCAGGGCGCAGGCTTCGGCCGGCGGGGCCCCCACCCTGAGGGCTCCCCGAACTGGAGGCGCCCGGCCGACCTCGACCTGCCCTGCGCTCCTGGGAGCGGGGCGCTCAGGGGTGATGCGCGTTGGAGCCGCGGCTGGGAAGGAGGAAGGGCGAGTCCCGGCCGCGACCAGCCTGTCCAGCCAGGAGTGTCTGTCCCGCGGCCCCGCTGGGGCGCCAGGGAGACCCCGCAGACCGCAGCGTGCGGAGCGAGCCCCTGTGGGCGGCCGCGGTGCAGGTGGGACATGGCGGCTGGAGGGAGCGGGCTCTGCAGGGGAAGCCGGCCTGATGGGGGCGCTGGACGCAGGGTGCAGCGTGTGTCCCCCAAGGGCTCTGCACCCCCACCTCCTACTCTGACCCCGGTGCCCCTGCATGTGACCGAGTCCTTCCTCACCCTCCAGAGGCCACTGGGTGCAGCCTCCTCTCCCAGGCGACAGCTCCAGACCCCGCGGGGGTGTCCTCTCCCCCGCACCCCGACACTGAGTTCCGTTCCGGGCGGGATTGAGGAGCAGCACCACCAGGCAGAGCCGGCAGCAGGGAAGAGGGGCGGCTAGTTCTGGGGGCACCCACCTCCCACCACAGGTCCCCTCGCCCAGGCTGGGCCCAGGCCCCCGTGTCCCTCAAGGCCTGGCCGCTGTGGGCCCTGAGGCCGCCCCCTGGGAGACGCACCCTCAGGTGGGCCTGCACCCCCCGCCCCCCGCCCCGCTCCCATCCACCGCCCTCAGCCGCTCGGAGCTGGGATTCTGAGGCCTCGCGGCCAGAAGCAGCCCCACGATGGGACACGTTCCAGACCTGGACGCGCTGGCCCCGCGCCCACAGCCGCCCGCCCATGACTCTCACCATTGAAGTTTCTCTCTCTCAATCTCCCTTCCTCTCTCTGAAATCAATAAAAATATAGTTTAAAAAAATGGTTTTGCCGTAACCGGTGTGGCTCAGTGGATAGAGCGTCGGCCTGCGGACTGAAGGGTCCCGGGTTCGATTCCGGTCAAGGGCATGTGCCTGGGTTGCGGGCACAGCCCCGGTAGGAGGTGCGCAGGAGGCAGCTGATCGATGTTTCCCTCTCGTCGATGTTTCTAGCTCTCTACCCCTCTCCCTTCCTCTCTGTAGAAAATCAATAAAATATATTTTTTTTAAAAAATGGTTTTATTGCCCTGGCCCAGTGGTCGGCAAACTCATTAGTCAACAGAGCCAAATATCAACAGTACGATTGAAATTTCTTTTGAGAGACAAATTTTTTAAACTATACAGGTAGGTACATTGTTATTAACCTAATCAGGGTCCTCCTGAGCCTTAGGAAGAGCCACACTCAAGGGGCCAAAGAGCCGCATGTGGCTCGGGAGCCGCAATTTGCTGACCACGGCCCTGGCCGGTGTGGCTCAGCGGATAGAGTGTTGGCCTGCGGACTGAAGGGTCCTGGGTTCAGTTCCAGCCAAGGGCACAGGCCTGGGTTGCAGGCTCTACTCGCAGTAGGGGGCGTGCAGGAGGCAGCCGATCAATGATTCTCATCATTGATGTTTCTATCTCTCTCTCCCTTCCTCTCTAAAATCAATAAAAGTATATTTTTAAAAATGGTTTTATTGTGGTAAAATGTAATAATCATATAACGATATTAATACATCATGAATCTGAGTGCAGGCACTTCAGACCCTGAGTGTGCATCGAGGTCGGCCGACCCGACCCTCAGGAAGGCGGACCCGAGGGCGAGGCGTTCCCGCAGGTGCGCGGGCCGGTGCGCTGCTCGCGGGCGGCAGCAGGTGTCAGGCAGCTGGGCCGTGGCTGGGAGCCCGCGTGCCCGCCCTCAGCTCAGCGGCGTGAAGCCCATTCACACTGTTGTGCAGCCGTCACCCACATCATCTCCAGCACTCCTCCCTTCCTTCCTATTTTTTAAATAGTGAGGGTTTTGCTCTAGTCTAGCTCCTTTGGCTCAGTGGATAGAGCATCGGCCTGCCGAGCGAAGGGTCCCGGGTTCGATTCCGGTCAAGGGCGCGGACCTCAGTTGGGTTGCAGGCTCCTCCCTGGCCTGGGCTCTGGTCGGGGCACGTGCAGGAGGCAACCAATCCATGTGTTTCTCTCACATCGATGTACCTGTCTCTCTCCCTTCCACTCTAAAAAGTCAGTGGAAAATATCCTCGGGTGAGGATAAAAAAATAAATAGTGAGGTTTTTTTGTTTATTTAAAAATTGATTTTAGAGAGAGAGGAAGGGAGAGGGAGACAGAAATATCAATGATGAGAGAGAACTATGGGCCGGCTGCCTCCTGCACGCCCCACACTGGAGATGGAGCCCACAACCCGGGCCTGTGCCCTGACCAGGAATCGAGCCGTGGCCTCCAGGTTCATAGGTCTATGCTCAACCCCTGAGCCACACCGGCCGGTGAGAACTTCCTCATTTTCTTCAACTGAAGCTCTGTCCCGTGCGACACTGACCCCCGCCCTGGCACTCCCGCCTGCAGCGTCGACCGGACAGAGGGAGTGCCTCTGACGCACGGGCCGGCCGAGGCGAAGTTTCCGAGATCAGGCTCGGGGAGGACGGTGGCCGCCATCCTGCTCGGCCCGAGGAAGCAGCCAGCGGCCAGCAGGGACGAGGCCTGGGACACCCAGGGCTGAGCCGGGCAGGGCCCTCCAGGGGCCTCGAGATGCTGCAGCCCCAGCTCACACCTGACCCAGATTCCTGACCGCAGGAGCCACAGGAGCCTGAGGGGATAAGTGCTGGCTGCTGGGAGCGGACACATTTGGGGTAATTTGCTCTGCAGCCGTGGGTGGCTGATGCCCTCGGCGAGGACACCGTGTCCAGCTCCTGCCGTTAGGGCTCCCCGAGGCCATCGGTGCCTGCCCCGCGAGCACCCCACCTTAGCATCACCCTACAGACAGGCAGGGACCTCGGCTCTGCAGGACCTGCCCTGAGGGAGATGATCTTCCTATGGACGCCACCCACTGTGCCCCCCCCCCCCCGGCCCTGCGCCCACAGGGAGCTGGTCAGCAGCCGGTTCTCTGATCCCACAGGAGAGACGTCCAGCCCTGCCAGCACCCCCCCACCCCCAGCCCCTGGGCCTGTCATCTCCTCCCCCCACACTATTATTATTATTGTTATTTTAATTGATTTCAGAGAGGAAGGGGGGGAGAGAGAGAGAGAAACGTCAATGATGAGAGAAGATCATGGACCAGCTGCCTCCTGCACGGCCCACACTGGGGATCGAGCCTGCAACCCGGGCCTGTGCCCTGACCGGGAATCGACCTGTGACCTCCTGGCTCATAGGTGGACGCTCAGCCCCTGAGCCCTGCTGGCCGGGCCGTGGCCTCATGTCACCTTAAGCCCCTCGGGAGAGACCCTCCTGAGCTGCTGGGGGTGGGGCTTCATCGCGAATTTGGGGACACAGTCCAGCCGGAACAGGGACCTTCCGTGTCTCCTCTCTCCCCCCAAGTGGCCCCCCGTCCCCTGGGAAGGGCGCTGGGCCCTGGCCTGGTCTCGCCGGCGCCTCTCGCCCCGAGCCACCAGCAAGGTGGTTAGGCTCTGGGGAGCCGTTCAGGCCGACTGAATCAGGCCACTTAGAGGGACCGCGGCGGAGAGAGGGCCCCGGGGCGGCAGCTGTGGATGGTACCGGGCTCAGGTCAATGACAGACATGGGGGCTGGGGGTGGACAGCACTGGCCTGGGCCAGGTGGGCAGGGGCCGGAGGAGGGAGCAGGGCGGGAGGCCCCGAATCCCGGAGGGAGCAGGCGAGCCAAGGCCCATCCGCGTGGTCAGGGCTTGGGCGGGAGCAGAACTAGCCAGGCCCGGGGGCGGGGGGCGGGGGGCGCGATCGAGCCCTGACCGGGAATCAAACTGTGACCTCCTGGTTCCTAGGTCGACACTCAACCCTGAGCCACGCCAAGTGGGTGAGGCCCTCTTATCAGTAGAAGGAAATGCTTGTGTTCTAAGCCAAGAAAAGCTGGAGAAACTCACCAAAAGGAATGAGTGGGCGCTGCAAGGAGCCATGGCGGGACCAGCCGGGTGCCCCCCCGCACGGTGTGTGGGCACCGGCTCTGCGGCCTCCTCTCCCGCTGCCCCGACCGGCCCTCCCCACCAGGTCCCTCCCCCTGGGTCTGCCCGGCCGCCCGGTCTGGCCCCCTCTCTCTACTACTTACTGTCGTCTGGGCCCCCCAAGAGCACGAGGTGGGGGTGTGGTCCTCCTGGTGGCGGGCAGTACCAGCTGCAGGCAGGCCGCACAGGGACTGGGCAGACGCAGGCAGAGGCAGCTACCCCCTCGCCCCCGCTGGCTCCCGGCATGGGTGCCCGCAGCTCCGAGGCCGCCCCACAGGACCCTCGGGCTCCCGGCGGGCGGGCGCCTTCCTCCCCAGGCCCCCGGACAGCTCTGGGAAGGCCCAGCCCCTCCGTTCCCATCCCCGCTCTGTTTATGTCTTATGAATTCAGTTATGTAAATAGAGGTGGCCCAGCCCAGGGGGGAACCCCCCCCATCTGTCCCCTCTCGGGCCACCCAGTCCCTGCCCAGGCTGCTGGGCCTGTGCCTGGCCAGAGACTCCCGGGAATAAGGGCCAGGGAGGCCGGTCACCTCTGAGGGTCACACGGGAGGGGGCACCCCACCTCTGACATCACAGCCGCCTGGGGGTGTCCAGACCTGTGTCTTAGGGAGAGGGGCAGAGAGAGGAGGGGCCACGAGGGAGGAAGGCAGGTCTGGGCACAGGCGGAGGCCCCTCCCCGCCCGCCCCTGCGTTTGCACAGGCCCTTCTGCGGGCTGAGCCGTTCTCTGACCTTTGCCTCTGACCTTTGCCGCTGACCTCTGCCTTCTGGCCGGCACCTGAACTGAAACAGAAAGGCCGCCCTGGGGGCAGGGCTCGGGTGCACTGGTAAGAAGGGGGGTCTGGCGGGCACCCCCAGAGCGCCCCTCACCTGGGCTCCAGGCCTGGCTGGCACAGGTGGGCTAAGACCCCTGCCAGCATCTGTGGGGCTGGAGGCGGGGCCCCGGGGGAGACTATGGCTTCCAGTGCCCCCAAAACTGAAGTCGAGAAGGGCCCAGGGACCCTGGGGACCAAGGACGGGGGAGCCGCCCAGGTGACGGGAGGCGGTTGACAGAGAGGCCAGGGGATCCCAGGAAACAGGCGGGTGGGAGGCGGCCTGGGCTGAGCCGGGTGTCCCCAGGAGGGGTGCGGCGGGGGGGGGGGGGGGGGGGGGGCGCGAGCAGCCCGGGTGGGGTCTGGGCACTGGGGGCGCCTGGGGAGCAGGTGGACAGTGAGGGCAGTGGTGGGAGCGGCCCCTGGAAGCCATGGCGGTGGGAGAACTTTCTAGAAGGAGCGGCCACGTCCGGTCCTGAATGCTGACAGCCCAGGAAAGATGGGGCCCCACAGTGTGTGTGTGGGGGGGCCCTGAGGTGATGGCGCTGGGGGGCCTGGGGGAGGAGAGGGGGTGCCTGAGGGTCTGCAGGCACAAGGCTGGGGGTGCAGCTGTAGGGCCCCCAGTGTGCGGGGGACTTGGCGCAGCCGGGGGAGGGGGGGCAGTGGCGCTGGAGGGGTTAACGGAGGGGACCTGGGCCCTGAGACGGGTTAAGGGGCACCCGGGCCCCCCTTCCTGCCTGGACAGCCCCCACCCATCCGCCTGCTCTGCGCCCAGGAGCCGCGGGGGTAAGTGGCCGCGGGGGTAAGTGGGGAGCCGGTCCTTCCAGCAAATCAGCCCACACCCCGCACCCCACACCCCGCACCCCACACCGCACCCCCACCCCCACCCGTCCTTCCGGGCGACCGCCTCTGCCTGGGAGGGACCCGCCTCTAGGAGCCCGCGAGGCCGGGGCCGGGGTCCGGGGGGCAGGACCGGGGTGTCGCTGGGAGGAGCGGGGCGCGGACCCTCGGCTGCCCCCCCCCCCCCCCCCCCCGCGCCACCGCCGCCGCCGCCGCCGCCGCCACCGCCTCCCAGCGTCGCCGCCGGAAAGTTTGCGCGCGGCTGGCGCGGGGCGCGGGGCGCGGGCGCGGAGCCGGCGGCGGGGCGCGGGGAGCGCGGACCCGGACCGGACCGAGCGCGGTGAGCAGGGGGCCCGAGGGGACGTCCGGGGGCGGCAGAATCGGGGCTCGGAACCGGCCCACGGGGACCCGGGCTGCGCCCTCACCCCGCCCGGCGCTGCGCCCTCCTCTCCGGGAAGCGCGGGGCGGGCGGGGGGTGCGCGCCGCCAGGTGCCCGTCCGGCCCCCCCTGGGCTCGGCTACTCCCTCCGCTCCCTCCCCCAGGGCAGCCCCGTGAGACCCCCCGGGCCGCGTCCTCGGCCCGGCCTACCCCCTCCGGGCCCTGCCCCCCAGGAAGGTCCCAGCAGCACCCCAGCTCCGGGAGGGGGTGTCTCCGGGATGGGGGGCGAGGGGCCAGCACCCCGGAAGCCCACGCTGTCACTGTGACCCGCTCCCCCCTCCCCGCCCGCCCCCCTGCCCCCAGCCCAGCCCACTGACCCCGCAGGTCTGGGCGCCCGCATCCACCGCAGGCTGAGGCCGGCCAGGGCTGGGGGTGAGGGTGGAGGGGACGAGGGTGCAGGGGTGAGGGTGCAGGGGGAGCTGTGCCTGCCCGCCCTCAGGGCCGGGGTGAAGGACAGGGAACCAGGCTTTGTCAACAGGCCTGGCCCCTGGTGCACCTCGGCCACCACCTCCGGCCACTTGATCCGGTTTCACAAACACCCCCCCCCCCCCCACCTCTGCACCTCAGAGGCTGGGAGGCCTCAACCCCACCCTCCATCCTGGGGGACCTGCCCATCTCATAATGGCCACCCACCCACCTGGGGTCCCTCCCCCGGGCCTGGGAGTCCCTCCGGCCGCCCCCCCCACCCCTGCCCTGAAACTGGTGGGACGCTGGCCAAGCCGTGCTTGTTGGGGGGTGAGTGGTGCCTTCTGCAGGGCGCGTGCCAGCTGGCAGGTGGGGGAACCCAGGGTGGGGCTGAGAAAGAGGGGAGAGCCCCTATCTCTGTCCGCTCGAGCCGCACCCGTCCTGAGCTGACATTTATGGGGCACAGTCCTGGTCCCTGGCTGGTCACCTCCACCCCCTGATCAGCTGGGGGGTCAATAGTAGAAGCAGGGGGCCCTGAGCACCTCTACTGCAGCCCCCCCTTCCGGGCTCAGGCCTCATTCATTCCACAGCCCCGACCTGTGCTGGGGGGGTCGGGGGACGGGGGGGGGGACGGGGGGCCTGTGCTGGGGGGATGGGGGGCAGGGGGGGCCTGGCCAGGATGCTCCACCAGCCCTCAGGTAGCAGAGCTCACTGACTCCTGAGGAGGCGGCACCCCATCCACAAGTGGGGAACCTGGGGCTCCGAGGAGTTAAGTCCTTCGTCCTCGGTCCCGGGACCAGCCCTGGGTGCCTCCCGTGGAGCCAGCCTCCCACCGGGTGCCCAGCAGGGACCCCGGGGCCTCAGCTCTGTGCAGGGGAAGGGGCTCCCGCCCCACCTAATCAGACGAGGGTCTGGACTCGCCTTGCCCGCCCCCCACCCCCCGCCCCGTCAGGCACCGCGGGGTCCCCCGCAGCCTCTGGGACCTGAGCCGAGGCCTGTGACCTGGGGGTCCGGTCCCTGAGCCCCTGCCAGGCCGGGGGTGGGAGTGGGGGCGTGGAGAGCCGCATGGAGAAGAGCCCAGGCAGCCCCCCCTCCCCTCCCCCGAGTCCTGCCTCTCTCTGGGGCCGGGATAAGTTAGCACCTGCAGGTCGGCCACCACCCGCCCGGGTGCCCCAGGCCCCGCCCACCTCCCCCAGGGCCCGGGCGGCCAGCAGGAGCACTGTCACCCCCCCCAAAGCCGGCTCTCGGGGCTGTGCTTCCTGGGAGCTCCTCGCTGGCTGCCCCCCCCCCCCCCGGGGCAGGGCCGCTGGACGGAACAGCTTATCGGGCAGTGTCCTTCCTCCGGGGCCCAGCATCTCGCCGTGCACTTCGCCCGCCGGGGGGCCTCTAGCTGCTCAGGACACCCCTGCACCCCAGCCCTCCTCGCCTGCAGCCGGTAGGACAGGGAGAGGCTGCTCCTAGGGGCGCCCCCCCACCCCCCCACTCCCACCCAACCCCCAGCTCAGAGCTGGGGCAGCGAGGGGCAGGGCAGCGAGGGGCTGGCCAGATCAGGAGAGAAGGAACATTTGTGACCTCGTGACCTCGGGGCTGAGGACACGGGTCTGCCTCCTTCTCTGCCAAGGGGCACCCCTCAGACTGTGGCTCCCCCACCCGAAGCCCTGAGTGCGGAGCCTCACCTGCGCAGGGACGGGGACCAGCCGCCCTGGGAGGCCTCCCCAGGCCTGGCCGGCAGCCGGGGCCACGCTGGGTCAGGAGCCCCAAGCAGGCTGGGAGCCGGTGCCCGCCCAGGTCACTCCGCTCTCCCCTCACGGTGGCATCTCAGGGCCCCATTAGGGGGCGGGGGGCGCGTCCCAGAGAGGCCCCTGGTGAAATGGTCCCACGGGACCAGCTGGACTAGTGGGCGGGGCTGCGGGCCCTGCACCCATGGAGGGAGGCGCCCCGGCTGCCCCGTGGGAGTTGCCGGCTCTGGAAGCCTGAGGGGAGGATTTATGGGGCTGCGGCTGCCACAGAACTCTGCTCAGACGGCTGCAGCCCGCGACCAGGCCCCGAGGCGCCCCCGCCCGCAGGCCCCACAGGGCAGGGGTCCTGCGTCTGGGCCCAGCAGCCGGCAGCGCGTGGACAGCGACCACCCTGAGAATGTGCCTGTGCTCCTGGCCCTGGCGCGGCTGGGCGCTGGCCAGTCGCCTGCTGCTCCCGCGCTGGGGGTGTCATGGCCCGCACCCTGCCCGCCGGCCTTTCCCAGGAGCTAAGAATAGGCAGGAGGCGGTGGGGCAGGGGGGCTGCCTGGGCGCCGCTCCCCCTCCCCCCTCAGCTTCAGGCCGGCAGGCTGATGGCTGCCACCCGCGGGAGGGGAGGGCGGGCGCTGGGGCCACCGGAACCCCGTCCCCCTGGAGGCGGCCGGCCCCCAGGACCCGGCAGGACCTATTGGCCAAGAGCGCTGCTTCCCCCCAGCTCCCGCCTCATCAGTGGGCCCCGGAGGCTCAGGGGGGGCCTTCAGGGGAGCAGGACACCCCGTGGCCAAGACAGGACCCAGCTGAGCCTCCTCGCTGCGGGCCTCTCCCCAGGCCCCGCTGCCTGACCCCCGCAGCCCCGGAGCCCACGCCTAAAGGACCCTCTGCCCCCACTTTGCAGCCCCAGGCAGATGTGGGGGGCGGCAGCCCGGAGGCATGCCCCCCACCCGGCCACGCCCACCCCCCTTCCTGCTGCTGCTGCTGCTGGCCTGCCAGGTGAGCGCCGCTGCCCTCGGCTCCCACGTCCCGGCTGGCCCTCCCCTCGCTGACCCAGCCGCTCCGCCCACCCTCCCTGCCCAGCTGCAGGCCCCCTGTGCGCAGATGATGGACTCCGTGTTCGAGAAGTGGAAGCTCTATGGGGACCAGTGTCTGCACAACCTGAGCCTGCTGCCGCCCCCCACGGGTGAGCCCCACGGGTGGGCCCCTCGGGTGAACCCCACGGGTGGGCCCCTCGGGTGAGCCCCACGGTGGGCCCCTGCCTTCCTCCCGGGCGGCATTTCCTGGGCTCTTCTTATGGGGAGGATCGGCACAGGTGAGACTGAGTCACGGAGAGGCCGCAGGAGCAGGAAAAAGAGGTGGTGGACTTGCCTCCGCACTGGGGTGCTCCGTGCCCCCTGCTGCTGGGCGTCCCCATGGGGGCCTGGGGACAGTGAATCTGCTCCCATGGCTTAGAGGCCACAGGAGGCGGCTGAGACAGGTGGGCAGACCTCACAGGCCCGGGGGTGGGGGGCCAGGCCAGGATGGGGTCAGTCCTGGACGGTCCTGGAGGCCCCGGGGTGCAGAGGGGCAGGAGCAGGAGGGCTGGCCTGGGAGGCCCAGCACTGTCCTGGCAGGGAAGGGGCCCGCACAGGGCAGGGGGCCAGGGACTGCCCACAGGGTTGGTGCTGGGCCCAGGAAGAGAGCCAACAAAATTGGGGTTCAGTCCCCAGAGCGGGAGGCACTTTTAAGAAGGGAACTGGGAAGAGGGGGGGCCCCAGGTAGGTTGGGGGCAAGTTGGGGGAAATGCAGTGTCCCAGGGGAGGCGGGCGGTCAGAGGCCTGGGAGGCGGGAGCAGAGGACGGTTCTCAGCGGATCCCGAGAGGGGACGAGAGGGCCGGCCTGCTGAGCCCCGCCCGCCCCTGCAGAGCTGGTCTGCAACAGAACCTTCGACAAGTACTCCTGCTGGCCCGACACGCCCCCCAACACCACGGCCAGCATCGCCTGCCCCTGGTACCTGCCCTGGCACCACAAAGGTAACTGCAGAGGCAGGGGGGGGGGCCGGCCTCAGGGCGTGCGCTGACCATCGCCCCCCCCCCGCAGTTCAGCACCGGTTCGTCTACAAGGCGTGCGGGCCGGACGGGCAGTGGGTGAGGGGGCCGCAGGGGCAGCCGCTGAGGAACGCCTCCCAGTGCCGGATGGACAAGGAGGAGCTTGAGGCGCAGGTCAGCGGCGGCCGGCGAAGCGGGCACGGGCCGGGCGCGCCCGCCTCTGCCTGAGCAGCCCTGTGATCTGCAGGAGGCGGAAGCCAAGCTGCTGGGCGGGTCCAAGGCGATGTACACGGCGGGGTACTGCCTCTCGCTGGGGGCGCTGCTCCTGGCCCTGGCCATCCTGCTGGGCCTCAGGTACGGACGCCAGGCGGGCGGGAGGGGCGCGGCGGGCGGGGTGCGGGCGGGCGCCGACTCCCGTCCCCACAGGAAGCTGCACTGCACCCGCAACTACATCCACGTGAACCTGTTCGCCTCCTTCGTGCTCAAGGCCGGCTCCGTGCTGGTCACCGACCTGCTGCTCAAGACCCGCTACAGCCAGGAGTTCGGGGACGACCTCCGCGTGCGGGGCTGGATGAGCGACGAGGTGAGCGCCCCCCCCCCCCGTGCCCGGCGGGCGGCAGGCCGGGGGGCCCGCTCACGCCCTGCGCTGCCCCAGGCGCTGGCCGGCTGCCGGGTGGCCGCGGTGTTCATGCAGTACGGCATCGTGGCCAACGCCTGCTGGCTGCTGGTGGAGGGCCTGTACCTGCACCGCCTGCTGCGCCTCTCCGCCGGCCCCGAGAGGAGCGTCTTCGCCTTCTACCTGGGCATCGGCTGGGGTGAGTGGGCCGCGGCGGGAGGTGGGGGGTGGGGGGGCGGGCGGCGGGAGCTTGGACCACAGCTGCCGCCCCCTGCAGGCGCCCCCATGCTGTTCGTCATCCCCTGGGCTGTGGTGAAGTGTGTGTTCGAGAACATCCAGTGAGTAGGAGCTGCTCTGTGAGGACAGCGGCTGGGCTCCCCTCTCCGGGTGCTGGCAGTGCCCGGGGGCGGCAGCCAGTTCTGGGGGGCGGGGGGAGGGTATCGCTGGCCTGAGGCCATTGGGGGTGAGCACACCTGGAGCCTGGGATGGGGGGTCATGCGTGATCATCTCCTTTCTTTCCCGAGTCACTGATCAGATCCACGGGGAATGGGGGGGCGGGACGGGGGGGCGGGGGGCTGACAGGTGTGAGCGGCCGCCCTGCAGGTGCTGGACCAGCCACGGCAACATGGGCTTCTGGTGGATCCTGCGCTTCCCCGTCTTCCTGGCCACCTTGGTGAGGAGATGGCATGCCTGCAGCTCCTCAGGGAGGGGGCCGTGGGGTTGGCCTCAGCCCCCCTCCCCGTGGGCCTGTGGGGCCGGCGGCCAGGAAGGCAGACAGCATCCTGCCTGGGCGGACCGGGAGGGAGGCCCGGCACTCAGCCAGGGCACTGGCCGGCGCCCTGGCCTGGGGCTGGGCTGCCCGTCTTGGCCAGGTGCCCTCCAGCCCCAGGGCCGCCCTGAGCCATGCCCTCCACGTGCAGATCAACTGCTGCATTTTCATCCGAATCCTGCACATCCTCGTGGCCAAGCTGCGGGCCCATCAGATGCACCACACCGACTACAAATTCCGGTGGGTGCGGGCGGGCGGGCAGGCGGGGAGGGGCGGGGACGCCCAGTGCCCGTGCTCAGGCCCCGCCCCCACAGGCTGGCCAAGTCCACGCTGACCCTCATCCCTCTGCTGGGGGTCCACGAGGTGGTGTTCGCCTTCGTGACGGACGAGAACGCCCAAGGCACCCTGCGCTTCGTCAAGCTCTTCTTCGACCTCTTCCTCAGCTCCTTCCAGGTGCGCGCCCCCCCAGCTGCCCGCCCTCCTCCCCGGGGCCGCGCTGACCACCCCCTCTCTGCAGGGCCTGCTGGTGGCTGTCCTCTACTGTTTCCTCAACAAGGAGGTGGGTGAGGGTCTGGGACCGGCCTGGGGTGCGGGGAGAGAGCCCGGGCGCCCAGCCTTCATGCCCACCTGCATTTGCCCTGTGGCAGCCACAGCCCGGGTGCCAGCCGTCCCCAGCCCCTGCGTCCAGGTGGCACAGCCCATCCTGCTCGCAGCCGGGTGCCAGGTGGCCTTCAGGGCCAGAGGCGGGAAGCCGGGTGGGACTGGCAGTGCCGGGCCCGGCCCACCTGTCGGCTGCCCCAGGTGCAGACGGAGCTGCTGCGGAGCTGGCACCGCTGGCGCCTGGGCGAGCTGCTGCGGGAGGAGCGCCAGGTCAGCGGCCACCCGGCCCTGGCCCGGTCCACCAGCGGGGCCCCCACGGAGAAGCTGCTGCTGTCCGGGGGCTGCGACAGCAACGGGGGCAGCCACGGCCCCTCCCCCTCCGGGGAGCCCCCCGCGGCCGGCCGCCCCCCGGGGTGGGCCCAGAGCGCCCTGTGAGGCCCGAGCCCCCGGGGCTGGACTCGGGAGTGAGAGGCCACCCGAACAATTCAGACCAAGACCCAGAGTGGCCTGGGGTGTAGCCAGAGCGGCCCCCTGTCCCCGGGGCCCACTGCAGTGGCCTGAGGGCGGGCCTCCCCTGCCCTCCCCTGCCCTCCCCACACCTGCTCTGTGCCCAGCGGGCCCGAGGGGGGAGCGGGGGGACGGGTGGGGAGCTCTCGTGAGTGCATGTCTGTGTCTGTGAGTCTGAGGAGGAATGTGTGTCCTCCAACAATAAAGAGCTTGTGCAGTGGTCCTCTTCCGCCCCCTGGGCTGGCGCTGCCCTCTGGGACCCCATTTTACAGATGGACTGGATGGAGCTGGACCCTGATGGGACCGAGTGTGGTGGTGGCTGGCAGCGCCTCGGCTGCCCCATGGAGCAGGTCCCGGCTGCCACCTCTAGCCAGCGCAGGCGGCCTCAGCCGCCCCAGGCCGAAGGGATAGTCCCCCATTAGCTTTGGCCCCCAGAGGTCACCATTTGCCAGGAGAGGGACATGATGGGGGGCGATGGCCCAGGGAGGCCACTGACATCCCACCCCTCCTGCCCCATGGACATGTGGCCGGGGCTGCACTCAGGTCAGTGGGGACGTTGCCGCACAACCTGGGCCTGGAGTCCTCCGCTCGCCTCTGCCTCATCCAGGCTCCGGCCACCTGAGCAGCGTGCAGGGCACGCAGCAGGTGAAGTGGGGGGACAGGGGACCCCAACTGAACTGGTCCGAGTGAGGTGACAGCACAGTGTCCCCGGCCTCTGCAAGGTCACCGGGACTTCCCCATCAGGAGCTGCCGACGGTGGGCGGGCACCTGCTGGGCAGGCGGGGGACTGACCCCAGGACGGAGCTGAGTGCTGGCGGACGACCAGGCGCCCGGGGTGGGCAGGGCCACGGCACCTGAGGTCCAAGAGCGCCTGGGCACAGCGTCTGATGGAGAGGCTGGAGGCGAGGGCAGGAGGGGCCACCGGGGCTGTGATCACCCCTCGGGGAGCAGAGCTGAGAGCCTGGTGGGACGTGTGTCGGGAGGGCGGCGCCATCAGAGGAGGGGGGGCTGGAGCAGAGCATGCAGCCAGGCCGCCAGCCAGGTGGCCCTGCTCTTGGAGCCACTGGGCGGCTCGCTGGGCAGGGGGAGGGGTGCCACCGCGGGCGGGCGGGCGGGCGGGCGGCCACGTGGGCTGGAGCTGCTCAGGCACAGCCGCTAATGGGAGCAAATGAGAGGACAGGAGGCTCTCAGGAAAGGTAAATAGAATTACTGCCGCCAGGCACGGGGCCTCCTAGGGGCTGCACCCCAGCCGCCCACGCCTGAGACCCGGAGGGGGGGCGGTTAGAGGCTCATTAGCGGAGAGTCCTGTGTCCCGTGCTTAGAGGGGCTGCACCTCGCAGGACCCGAGGCCGTGCCAGCCCAGCAGCGGAGGCTGGAGGCACCTGACCTTAGGCATCAGGCCCCCGAGGCCCCGAGTCTCTTGGAGACCCTGCCCACGGGGCACCCGCCAGCCCTTGGCGCCCGGAAGCCCGTGTGGCCCCAGCTGGCACAGGGAAGGCACAGCCTCCTTCACGGCGGCTGAGCTCAGGGTCAGTGACCGCCTGGGGGTGCGTACTCACCCAGGGGCCTCCTGCTGCCCCCCCATCCCGAGTCCCTCTGCCCTTGTCCTCCTTTACCCCGTCCCGTCCCCAGGGGAACCAGAGCGGCCAGAGGAGTCGGGCGGAGTGGAGGCCTGGCCGGGCTGGGCCTGCCCAGCCAGTAAACCCTGGTTCTGAGTGGGCAGCCCTGCAGGCGGGGGGAGGGGGCCGGGGAGGGCCCCCATTTCTCACTCAGGGCCCCGCGCACCACAGCATCACTCCAGCGGGAGATAAAGGCCCAGGCCCTCTGCCCCTTCCTCCACCACCTGCACCCAGTCCTTCCCTCGGCGCCCAAAGAGCAGGGGTCCCTCCCAGCCTGTGCACGTGTGCGTGTGTGTGTGTGCGCATACGTGTGTTACAAAGAGTGTGGAGACCAGGAAGAGGAAAACGTGGACTTCGATAAACAGAGATCGCACCAGGAGCGTCAGGGCCCATCCCCAGGAGCTGTGCCCGGCCGGGGGCGGGGGCGGGGGTCCCTGGGCCCCGAGCAGGGCAGAGGCTCCGGGGAGGCGCCCTCGAAGGCCCCAGGGACTGACGCACTGGGAGGAGACGGGGATGAGGGGGAGAACGCGGCCTCCCTGCTGTTAGTACGTAGGAAACAGCAAATGAAAAAGAAGGCAATTGATAATGAAGGAAAACAAAAAGTTGGGCAGGAAAGAAAAAATAATCACACTTCACCACGTCTCGGCGCTGAGTACAAACACAGACATCGTGGTGTAAATACTCGCCGCCCTGGGAGTCATGGGAGAACAGAGCACCGCTACGCGGGCGGGCGGGGGAGGGGCCGGTGCCGTGGGGGGAGGGGCGCACGGACGGACGGGAACACCCAGAAACGGTGGCTCATGTCTGCCCCTTGGGGTGGGGGGTGGAGGCTGAGGCGGCAGGTCCGCTGGGAGCTCCTGGGCCGCAGACACCTGGGCAGCCCTCGCCCGCCCTCCCCCCTGCTCTCCAGGGCTCAATCCCTTTTCCTGCTCCCTCCTCCTCCTCTCCGGGGTGCCCAATAGTCAGGCCCAACTCTCCTCCCTTCTTGTCAGTCTTTAAAAATCAATATTCAAAAAATAAGAATCAATACCCAGATGCCTCCACCTGCAGCCTGGACCCTCCTGAACCCCACCGGCCACCTCCACGCCCCACACGCTGTTCACATGAGCTCCTTCTCCCCACGGTTTGCTGGACGCCCTCCTAGCAGGTCCCTGCTTCTCCCCGACCCGCGGCCCGCTCAGCACAGGGTAGAGCGGATATCTGACCTCAAGTCTCCTACGAACCCCACGCCCACCCCACGGAGCCTCACATCCCACCCGTTACAGAAACGTCGGAGAGGGGGTGGCCTGTTACCACCACACGCGGGGACCCGCCAAATCCAGACGTGGGAAATGCCACCAAGTGCCGAGGGGGGGGGTGGCCGGCGGGGGGGTTAGTCCATGAAGGAGGGAAAGAAAGACAACATGGACGGACGCCGGGGACGCAGACTGGGTGGGTGCCCACAGCTTGGGGGCAGTGTCCACTCCATGAACAGCTGATGGAGGCAAAGCCAAGTCCGAATAAGGCTGGGCACTCACAGGCCACATCCTCTAGTGAGACTGACTGGGTAGGCATCTGCTGGGGGTGCCAGGCGGCCAGAGCAGCCACTGGGGGAGGACCAGGAAGTGGCAGTGCTCGCCCATTAGGGGAACCCCCAGACGGGATGTCTGGGCCCCACATGGGAAGGAGGGCCCTGGAGGACAGGTCTGCTATAAGCGGGGCTCCAGGCCCAGTGATTGGGCCTCCATGGGTTGGGCCCCCTCCCCTCCCAGTGCCCCCTCCCCTGCCCCAGAGCCCAGCTCTGCCTCCAGGGCCACAGAGCTCCCAGCCGCCAGCGCGTGGCCTGAGACCCGCTCCCAGCTCCCAGGTGTTGGTGGAGACACCAGCCCGCGGACCTCCAGCTCACCGAGATGCGAGTTGGGGCAGCGGCAGTGAGGCCTGGAGGGGTGTCCCGTGGCCACCCACACGGGGGGGGGGGGTGCAAAGGCCCAGCGGAAGCACCACTAGTGAGTGAGGCCACGGCCAGTGCTGTGGGCAGGAGGCCGAAGCCAGGGCCCAGTGTGGCCGAGGGAGCTGGGGTCGGTGTCCCCCCCTCCCAGCCCCACAGGCGGATGACCCAGAGGCACCTGGAGTCAAAATCTGGTGGATGTTTACCAAACAGCCAGATGCTAGCCACTCCCATGTGCTGCTGGGCCTCCCACCCCTGGGGAGAGGGCTTTGGACCCTGACAGCCCACCCCGCACTTCACAGAGGACACAAGCGGGAGGCGGTGACAGCCAGGGCTCACAGCCAGGCCGTGGCCGCCGCCGCCACCAGCTGCTGCCCAGGAGCCCTCGCCTCTGGGTTGTGCCGCTGTCCGAAGGTGACCCGCACTGGGCAGCCCTGGGGGGTGGGCACCACTTTCCACCAGAGGAGACCCAGCACCTCCTCAGGGGTGACCTGAGCAAAGGCTGCTGGGCTCCCGCCCGCCCCCTCCCCAGCAGGACCCCTGCTGGCCATCCAGGGCGGCTGGGGCAGGGCCTGGTTCCCGTCCCGGGTCCAGGTCTTGCAGGGTGCAGGATGTGATGTGTGTCCGGTGCTCTCAGCCTCTGGCTGCAGCCCCCTGGACCCCGCCCACCCCTGGCACACACACACACACACACACACACACACACACACACACACACACGCTTCCGGCCCCAGACAGCGGGGCAGCTCAGCGGCCCAGCCCCAGGCATCACAACCCTCCCAGGCCGGGAGCAGAGGCCCCGGGGTGACAGGAGCTCGGCTCAGCACCCTCGGTGGCTGTTTATTGCATGGACCGTCCTTCCTGCAGTCTGGCGCTGGGGAACCACCCCCAGAGCCACCTGTGGGGCCACTCGTGCCCCCAAATGCTCTCTGGGAAGAGATGTTCCCAAAGTAAACCCTGGTGTGGCCTGTCCGGCGCGGGCTGCAGGCTCTCGGGTCTCGGTGGGTCCAGGCTGCAGAGGGTGCCCCAAGGGGATGGCCAGAGCTCACAGCACTTCCCACCTGGCCTCCAGGCCCCCTTCACGGCCCCCAAGAGGCCTGAGCCCCCAGTAGAGCCCGAGATCAGACGAAATTTCGGGGCTCAGGGGCCTTGACCTTGGCCTCAGGTTTCCTGCGTGTGTGGGCTGCAGGGACAGACTGCCAAGAGACCACCAGCATTGCCACTTTTATTCACGGTCCCCGGCTCAGCACAGGAAAAGGGCCCTGGCGACCCAGCACAGCACAGGCCGGACCCCAGCGCCCTGCCCCTGCCGAGGGGCTGCTATGGCCGCAGGGCACAGACACCAGGGCCAGAACCCTGCGAGGCACCGGGGGTCCCAGGCCTGGAGGAAGGGGCCAGGCTGGGCAGTGAGGGGTGCAGGGTCGGGGTTATTTGCTCCCATGTGTCCAATGTGGGGGACCCAGGCTGGGTGTGGGTGGGGCCGCCCTTGTCTTGCCTTCTGGCCACCTCAGAGTCAAACCTGGACGAGTCCCCAGGCCCTGGAGGTGGCCAGGGGTTGGGACCGGGGCAGTGGGGGAGACAGGAAGGGAGGAGACAGGGTCAAGATCCTGGGGGCAGGCCCGGGAGTGCGCGGGGCTGGAGGGTGACCCTCCGGGGACAGAGACGGCCCAGAGGAAAGGAGGGGCTGGGGGGCAGGCTGGCCTTCAGTCTCGCTGTCTGGGTCCTGGGGTTTGCCGCCCACAGGGAGCGCAGCCCCGGCTCCCCTCCCCCTCCCAGGGCTGGGCCCAGGGGAGAGCGGACGCCCCCTGGCGGCACGGGTCTCCCAGAGGCCAGGCCCCGCGGGCTTTACGACTTCTTGGCATCCTGCGAGCTGCGGCGCTTCAGGTCGCTCAGGTCGATGGGCTTGAAGGCTGTGCGGGGCAGCTCGGTCAGTGGGGGCGCAGGAGGCGGCTCCTGCCCGGAAGCCCTGGGACCCGCCCACCCCACCAGCTTCTCCAGTCAGGAAACAGGAAGAGGTGGGCTTTCCTGCCCCGCCCCTCACTCTTCAGCTGCTTAGGGACCTTCTCCGCCAGGCCCCGCCCCTGGGCCCTGCCCACTCTTCTGGCTGGTTAGGGACCTTCTCCACTGGCCCCGCCCACTCTTCTGGCTGGTTAGGGACCTTCTCCACTGGCCCCGCCCACTCTTCTGGCTGCTTAGGGACCTTCTCCACTGGCCCCGCCCACTCTTCTGGCTGCTTAGGGACCTTCTCCACTGGCCCCGCCCACTCTTCTGGCTGCTTAGGGACCTTCTCCACTGGCCCCGCCCACTCTTCTGGCTGCTTAGGGACCTTCTCCACTGGCCCCGCCCACTCTTCTGGCTGGTTAGGGACCTTCTCCACTGGCCCCGCACACTCTTCTGGCTGCTTAGGGACCTTCTCCACTGGCCCCGCCCCTGTGCCCTACTCACTCTTCAGGCTGGGGTTAGGGACCTTCTCCACATACTCCTCCACCAGGCCCCTCTCGTTGCCGGAGATCTGGCTGCGAAGGTCCCGCTCCACGCCCTGCCAGGCTAAGGATGGCGATGCAGTCAGAGCTCCAGCCCACTGGGCAATGTCCCACCAGCATCCCACCAGGAGAGCACCCCCTCCCCCTCAGGGCGTCCTCACAGCCTCTCCCCACTCACAGCATGTGGCTCCCAGACTGGCCGGCTCTGGACCTGAAGTCATCCCCAGGGCACCCCACTCCCTCAGGGAGACCCGCCTGGACCACCCCCTCGGCCTCCTGCCTGGCTCCTCGGGCGGCCTGTCCCCTCATCCTGTGATGCATGCCCAGGGCTGCGGTCCCAGAGGCTCAGCGCTCACCCCTCCAGGCACACAGCCCCACTTCTGGGACACCACTGGGTTCCCGAGAGTGCACATCTGTCTTCCACAGCCCTCCCCCCACCGCCACCCCCACAAATAACCCAACCAGCTACAAACACTGCCTCCTCTGAGGGCAGTGCCCACTAGGAACCCCAAGTGCCGACCGCCCTCATTACAAGAACCTGTTCTCCCAGACAGGCCCCATCACCCGCCTGCCTGGGCCCCGAAGGCCGGGGGCGTGGGGGGGCCAGGGGGCACCTGTACCTTCGTAAATGAAGCGCACATTCTCCTCGTGGGCCGGGGTGAAGATCTCGCTGCTGTTGGGGGGAGAGCGGGGGCTGCTGTTCCTCTTGCCGTTGTAGACGACTCTGGAGACGGGGGAACTGGGGGAACCCGGCACATGAGGAGAGTCGGGGGACCAGGGCGGGGTCCCACGCCCCTTGCCCCCAGGACGGACGGAGGCTGCTCTGAGGCCTAAAACCCACCTGGTCATCGCTGGGTCTGGTCCTCACGCTCGGCTGCCGGACCCCTCAGCCTCTGAAGGGAAACCGGACACGGGGCAGGTCACTTCTCCAGGGGCCTCCGAGAGGGGAGGGTGTGGGGTGCCGCTCCCTCCCTCTAAGCTGATGACAAACTGCTCTGGCCTCACTACTGGGGGGACCCCGAGGGTGGGTCGGCCACAATCTGGGCTGGGGATGCAGCAGGCCCCACTGGTGGGAGCGGCAGGCATGACCTGGAGCACCTGAGTCCCAGCACCCGGAAAAGCTGCCCGGGAGCCCCTCCCCAGAGTGGGGTGGTACGAAGGTGCCGGCGGCGGACACCCATTTCCAGAACCACAGAGCGCCTCTCAGGTGAACCCCACCTGCCCACACCTGCCGGGCCTGGCATGCTGCTTCCGCGAGCCTCAGTTTCCCATCAGGGGTGCCTCCAGGGGTGAGGGGCCCAATGGCTGCACAGAATCTGCCCAGGACCCGCCCAGCTTCCTGGTCCTGGAGGCTGGGGTGAGCGAGCTGGTGCTGGGGACGCAGCCAGCAGGGCGAGGGCAGGGGAGGGGTGTGAGCCAGGAGGAAGCGCCAGCCCGAGGCCTGACCCAGTGACCAGGACCCGGGAGCCCGGCCTGTTTCTCCCGCGCTCTGCCCAGGGGATTTTACAGCCCTGGGTGCGAATCTATTTTTAGGCTCACTCTCAACCTTGCCAGCTGGACACACTGCAGGGTGAGGGCACTGGCTGCACAGGGCTGGTCCCAGGCCGGTCCTCGTCCCAGAGCAGGGCAACCCCAGGTGCTGGGGTGGGGAGCCCTGGGAGGGGGCTTTGAGCACAAGAGCCTCCCCACTCACCCTGGAACCCAGGGGCCCTCAGACTGCCCAGAGCATGAGCCACAGCCCCTCCTGGAGGGCCAGGAGGGTGGGTCAGTGGGTGTGTCCTCCCCGGCTCATGCAGCCATGTTTAAACACGTGTGCAGGTAAGCAGGCACCCACAGGCCAAGTCCAGAACAAAAATGCACAAAACCAGCCTCCAGGAGGCACCGGAGCCCTGGCCCTCCAGGCAGGGGCCTCCAGCCAGGGCACAGGGGGGCGCCCAGGGCCACTCCCCAAGGGGCTGTGGCCATGAGCAGAGGGGAAGCTCCAATTATGCAATAGGATGGAGGTGACAGCAAGATGACCACCCCTGCCGGCCCTGGGCCAGGCCCTCCCTCCTCTCATCCTGGGCCCTCGGCTCCCTGCAGTCTGTGCCCTTCGACCTGGCCAGCCACTTGTCCAGAGCCTTGCCAGCCTCCACCTCTCCTCCCAGTGCAGCTCAGCCTCGGCCTCTGGTCACAGCCAGGCTCCCCCTGCTCCCCTTCGTCTCTGCCGTCCCAGGCCTGGCTGGGCCCCGAGCTGGGCCCCAGGCCCCCAGATGCTTGGTCTTCGCGCTGGGGGCCCAGCACATGCCACCCCTTGGGCTGGGCTTCCTGCCCAGACCAGGACCTCGTTGAGATGGCACCAGCTCCCGGGCCGGGCTGTGCCCTTGTCACCGAGCGCCCCCACCGTCCGAGGGGTCTGGTCAGAGCACCTGGGAAGCACTCAGCAGGTTCTCTCACCTCCAGAGTGAAGACAAATAACACAACATTTTCAAAGGAGCCACTGCCTGCCTCCTCTCAAGGGTGGGGCACCCCACTGGGCCTGATGGCTTCCCAGCCAGGAACCTCCAGGCCTCCCACGCCCTCAGCTCAGCTCCCTCCCGCCTTTCTCACCAGGACCTTGTGCTGGCCCTGCCCTGCCGAGAGCCTCACTCACAGGATCATCGAGCACAACTACTTCAAGCCGTGAGCTCAGAGCGCCACGTGCCTCCCCCAGGGACTGGCAGCTCCGGCTGGGCGTGGGGCAGCGCCAGCAGATCCCCGTCTGCCTGCTCTTTCCATCGCGTGCAGCCGCCCCCAGGCGCTCACAAGCCCTGGAGTCTCAGAGCTGAAGACAGTCTCCCCTCGGCCCACAGGGACCTCCCTCCCAGAGCCACCGTCTGGGTGCTCATCTCTTCTCCCCAATCCCGGGGGCCCCCTGCGAGGACCACCCCAATGGGGACAGCCTCCTGCACCACCTCCCTCGTCCCCCAACACGCGCTGCCAGCAGGATCTTCCCACGCCGTTTCTCATCCGGACACCACCCAGGTCTCTGCTGCCACCTCGCCCTCGGTCTGGCCCAATCCATTCACCAGGTGTCCGGCTGCTAGGCCCCTGGCCCACCCCCAGCCTCTGCCACAGAGCCACCTCTGCCGGCTGCCATCGGCACGAGAACCACGCATCCCCACCCCCACTCTGTAGGCCTTGACTAGCCCGAGCGCCTGGTGGGCGGAGTCCAGACCCACTCGGCGGCAGAAGGTCACCCATCCAGCTGCCCCGGGGCCAGTCCCTTCTCTCTCGGCCTCAGCGTCCTCATCTGAGCCACAGCGGCCCCCAAGGTGCTCACCGGGCCCTCCTGCTCGACAGGGATCCAGGCACAGCCGCGTGAAGCCACCACCTCAAAGGAGCTCTCCAGGGCTGCTTATCCGCTAAGACGACGGACAGGGCATCATCGGAGGAACGTACCGCCAAACGGGGCACTTCTGAGAGTGAGAGGGATGCTGCTGATTGCGAAGCGAGAACCGGGGCAGTTCTGGGCAACCCGACAGTCCCCACCCACTCAGAGGAGGCGGAGACCCAGAAAAACACAGGGTGCTGTGGAGAACAGCAGAGCCCCTGTCCACGGCAGACACTGTCCAGGGCAGACACCTGTTCACGGCAGACACCTGGCCAGGGCAGACACCTGTCCACGGCTGACACCTGGCCAGGGTTAGTTGCGGGTGTGGCTGCACTGGGAGCTTTACAAGCAGCTCACATCCCACACTGGGCCGGGAAGAGGCGCCTGACAACCCCCTTTTTGGAGGCTTGGTGGGTAAAGCAGCCTGCTACCCAGCAGAGTAGGGTCTGCACCCCAACCGCTGGGCCTCCAGGGCCACGGCAGCTAGGGCCGCCCGGATGGTTCAGCTGGGCTCAATGCCCCGTGCCCGGGCCGCCTCCCCGAAGGTGCCTGGGCGCCCTGACATCGACGCGGCCCTGCTCAGGCAGTGGAGGGCGCCTTCACATGCAGTACCTGGCTCTCCCATGGGAACCAAGGGCTCCGGGGACCGCCTGGGAGAGGCCAGGGGCCCACAGCCTGGCCTCTGACCCCCGTCTCAAGCCCCGTTCCCACACACAGCACCCGCCGGGGGGGGGAGAAGGCATGTGCGGTCCAGACAGTGGCGGCGGGAATTCGGGAGTAGAACCCATGACGCAGCTGCTGCTCGCTGTGTCCCTTCGGAATTCCCAGCAGCGGGTTTCCTTAGATTCCACTTTCCCGCCATTGCCGTGGGGGGCTCTCCCGGCAGGTCCAGCCAGTGAGACAGTGGTCCGCCCCGGCAGCCTGCAGGTCACTGCGGCGCTGGACCCCCGCGGGCCGCCTGTCCATCACGGGGCAAGGCCCCTTCCTGAGTGACCACAGCAGCCGCCCTCCCCGGAAACGACTGGGGCGTGTGCATCCCCTTCGACGTCACCTGGAAACCCCGCCGCCCCTTCAACTCCCCGCCCCCCCAATAAAGTCCTCGCCGGCCCCTCCTCCCGTCCCGCCCCGCGCTCAGCCCTCTGCCCCCTTGGGCAGCCCACCGGCCTCTCGGGCCTCTGCTCGGCTGTGCCCTCGCCCGCTCCTGTCCCGCCTGGGGTCCAGGGAAAGGCCACCCGCCGGGCGCGGAGCCTCCCTCGGGGCCGGGCGGCGCTGCCTGGGCACCTGTGTGGCCTGGAGGCTTTCCAGCCCCAACCTGGGCTGTGGCTCCGGGACCACAAGGGCGATGCCCAGGCCCCCACCCCTGCGCCTCCGCTCCGGCCCCGCGAGCCCCGAGGGCGGGGCGGGCCACGTCGCACCCCGGGGCGCCCGCACCGGCCCCGCAGCCGGGGTGGGGCCGGCGGACACCGGGCAGGGAGGCTGCGGAGGGGCCGCCCTCGGGAGGGTCCCTTTCGAGGGGAGACGGGACCTCGGTCCCGCTCGGCGGCGGCAGCTGCGAGGCCGGAAGGCGGCCCCGGGCGCCACGTCCCCACGCCCCCTCCTCCCGCGCCCGGGCCGGGCCGGGGCGCCCCCAGCGGGGCGGGTGGGTGGGGCGCACGGGCCTCCGCGACCCGCCCGGGCCCTGCCCAGCCCTCGCGGCCGCCGCGCCGGGGCGGGTCCCGGCCGCGCCCGCTCCGCCCCCGCCGCCGCCTCACCTCGCCGCCGCCGCCGCCGCCGCCTGGGCCCGGCCGGAAGTGACGCCCGCGCACGCGCCGCGCAGCAGCCGGGCCACGTGACCCCGCGGGGCGCGCCGAGTCTCGGGGAAGGAAAGCAGCGCCGCGGCTCAGCTCATGTTTATTGAAAAAAGTACAAAGTGTCACCGTACAAAAGGCACCGGAGAGGAGGCGGCCAGGGGCGCGGGGCGGGGGGTGTCCCAGGAGCGGGGGCCTGGCCGGCCCCGCGGGCGGGAGGTGCGCGCAAGGGCGGGCGCGCGTGGATGGGGCGCGTGGATATGGCGCGCGTGGATGGTCGCGGAGCGGCCGGCTCAGCCCAGCCCGGGGCCCTGGAAGAGCTCCACCAAGTCCTTGGCGTCGGGGTCGATGAGGTCGGCGGGCAGGTCGCCGTCGTCGTTGGCCGCCCCCCTGTCCGCTCCCCGGGAGAGGAGGTACCTGTGCACAGGGCGGCCTGGTTGCAGCGGGAGAGGTTGGGGGACCTGCCCAGCCCCGGGGCCCAGGCTGCAGCCGAGTCCCGTCTGTTTCCTGTTCCGGGTGGGCTGAGGGGAAACCCGCCCCTTTGCTCTGGGAGGGCACAGGGCAGAGGCGATGCCAGCGCCCGAGGTCCTGGCTACGCCGCCAGGGCAGCTTGGGGGACACCTCCTGGAGGCCGGGAGTAGCGGGGGGGCGGGAAGCTCTGGTCCCCCTCACCTGGCGATGTCGGGGTACCCGTCGCTGCAGGCGATGTGCAGGGGCGTCCAGCCCGTCTCGTCGCGCTGGTGGATGTCTGCCCCGTATTTGACCAGCAGCTTCACACACTCCAGGTTCCCGGACAGGACTGCTTCGTGCAGGGCGGCCAGGCCTGGGCGGGACAGGACAGGACAGAGGGGGTCAAGGCGGAGGCCCCCCTGCCGCCCACACACCTCGGCCGGCCCTGCGGGCGCTCACCTGAGGGGTACAGGGTGTCCAGGGCCACCTTCCGGGCCCGGATGAAGCGCCCCACCTGCTCCAGGTCGCCCTGGCGGACGTGGTCCAGGAACAGGACGTCGTTGGGGAAGCGCACGCTGCGCTGGGCCAGCATCCGCCGGCGCCGCTGCCGGGGGCTGTAGCCCTCATAGCGGACCGTCCTGCTGGGCATCCTGGGGGCAGCGGGGTGGCCGCCCCGGGGCCGCTGCTGCTCAGGGGAGGGGCCGCCCAGCCGGACAGCGACGATGCTCCCTCCACAAGGGCGCCTCCTGCTTTTATGGGCCCGCGGAGCTATATAAAGCCGCGCGGTCATGCTCGCCCCGTGAGAGCTGAAACCGAGCCGCTGGCCACCCCGCGCACAGATCGAGTTCACGGGCTCGTCTTTCAGCCCACCTGTCGCCGTGCCGGCCAACGGGGTCAGATCCTTCCTGGCCCTCGCACCCAGCCCCACGCGGGGCCTGGAAGGTGCCTTCCAGAGGGCACCACAAGGACGGCCTGGGGGCAGGTCCCAGGGCATCAGGACCCCGTCCTGGACTCTGGGGGAAGGGAGGACGGCTCACCTCCCACAGAGCTGGGGGCTGCCCATGTCTGAGGAAGCGCCGCCCCACCCGGGAAGGCCCAGCCCGACCCGCTCCCTCCCCGTCCCCTCGCGTCACCTTCCATGGTGGCCGTGTCACTCTTGGCACTTTTACCAAAACATGGGCCTCGATGGCACTGCCCTCTTGCCTGGGAGCCTCCCGGGTTAGAACCTAAAGGCCAGCCCGGCTGGCGTGGCTCAGTGGCTGAGCGTCGACCTATGAATCAGGAGGACACGGTTTGATTCCCGGTCAGGGCACATGCCCAGGTTGCGGGCTCCATTCCCAATAAAAACACTTTTAAAAATAAAAGACGACCCAGCGGCGGGGCCAGGGCACCTGCCTTTACTGCAGCAGCCGTGGCCTGAGGGGGACAGAGGCTTGGGACGCGGAGGACACAGCAGCAGCTCACGCAGAGAGGGCAGGAGCGGGCCTGTGGGATCAGGGCAGCCTGCACACCTGACGCTGGCTATGTTGTTCTTTTCTTTAAAAACGACCGGCTGCCTCCTGCACGCCCCACACTGGGGATCGAGCCCACAACCCAGGCCTGTGCCCTGACTGGGAGTTAAACCTGAGACCCTTCAGTTCGCAGGCTGACGCTCTATCCACTGAGCCGCACCGGCTGGGGCTGAGTTGTCTTGTTAGCATTACCTCATACCCTTACTTAGGATTTACCTTGTACGAGATGACAGTTTAACCTGCTGGCAATTTAACCTGCTGTTGCCGCCTGTGGATTTAACACCCTCTATGTGCAAAGCCTTGCGCCAAACACGCTGCAGAGAAACAGCGCTGGACCGCCTTCCTGGCGGTCCCCCACCCCCACCCCCGCCCTCCCTGCAGGGCCTGACTGAGGGTGAAGCCCGGTGTCCCTGTTCCTGCGCCTCGGGGCTCCGAGGGCCGCCGGGTGGTCTCACCCTGGTTGCTGGGGAGGAAGCAGGTACAGTTTCTTCTGGCTTCTTTACATGAAGCCTGGAGATGAGAACTTTCCTTTGATGTGAAGATACCTTTTCTGATGTGGAAAGTTCTGTCCACCGTCCCCGCTCGGAGGATCAGGTGAAAGATCAGGGTGAAGCTGCCACCAGGCACAGCCCGCCCCGGAGGGACCAGGCCCCGGGCCAGGGCAGGTGAGCCAGCCGGTGGCTGTGTTGGTGACGCCTCCTGTCTGTCCCTGTCTGTTGGTCTGTCTGCTGACGATCATCTGAGAGCTGGGGCAGGGGTCTCCTATTAGGACCAGGGAAGGGACTGGTGCCAAAGCCTCCCCAGTCACAACAGCCCCCCAAACGATAGTCATGGGCAGGGGCCACGGGCGCGGCCTGAGCTGGCCCCTTGGAGCCCGGTCGGGAGCTGCCTGAGCAGTCTACCTGCCCCTGGGGCTCAGCCTGCGTGTCCCACAGCCGCGCCAGGGCCAAGCCTGTGTTTAGGCGGCTCTGCCCAGTCCTTCCACGCCCCTGGGACTTGTGCAGTGACCGGCTTGGCATGACTTCAGGTTTCTGCCCCCAGAGGACTGACACTGAGGAAAACACGTCATGCGAAGAGCTTGATCTGAAAAGTGTAAGAGCACCCTCCCTGCCCCTCCGCTCCCCGCCCCGCCCCTCCCCGCTGCTGTGGGCGCCGCCCCCTCGCGGCCTCTGAGGCCAGAGGGCCTGCTGCCCACCCAGCAGCTGCCGGTTCGGGTTCCAGGCCAGTGGCTGCTGCTTTTTTAAAATAACAGTATTATTCATTTTTCTTTTTTTTTTAAAAAAAAAAATCTATGTTTATTGATTTGAGAGAGGGAGAGGAGAAATAGAAACATCAAAGGTGAGAGAGAATCATGGATCACCACCTCCTGCACACCCCCTACTGGGGATCGAGCCCACAATCCGGGCATGTGCCCTGACGGGGAAACAACCATGACCTCCTGGTTCCTAGGTTGACGCTCAACCACTGAGCCACACCGGCCAGTGGCTTCTTACCACCTGGAGAAAGGAGATGAGGAGAGAGGGAGAGAAGGTGGAGGAAGGGAGGAGAGAGACTGGGGCATCCGGGCTGTTAATCCTGTTTTGGGGAGTCACCTGCTAATCCACGGGCCCTGCCAGGCCTTGGACTCCACTCACCACCTCCCAGCAACGCAGGCAGCGGCGCTCTCACCAGCTGTGTCTGCAGAGGGGATGGGTCGGGTCGGTGACCCCTCACGGAGCACGAGATGGTGATGGCAGGGCACCTGCCCCTGGGCTGGTCCCCAGGGGCACGGCAGGAGCGCAGGACTGAGCACAGCTCACCTGTGCCTGTGAGCCCAGAGCCCTCTGTGCTGCGGAATCGCTCAGGTTCTGGGTGGCAGAGCTGCCTTCACAGCGACGTCCCCCAGGGTGCTGAGCCCCACCAGGACGGTCTGGCTGTGTTGGCAGGACTGGGGTGCCACATGCGAACACTGAGCGGACTGGCTGGACAGCAGCCCTGGCACAGGCCACCTGGAACAGGACGCCTGGCCGCTGAGCTGGACGGAGGAGAGGGGCCCAGACCCTGGGTGCAGGGACAGGATGGCCGCCCGGTGCCGCCAGAACTCACCCCGTCACGCTACCCTGCACACACTGGCTCTGGTCGGAGGCAGGAGCAGCCCGGGGTGTCAGGGCCGGCACAGGGCCTCCTGCCGGGAGTGAGATGGAAATGACCGCAGACTCCCCACGCGCGACCGGGAGAACCACGTTCACAGCAAGTCCCATCACATCTGCGGCTGTGACGCCGGCACCTGGAGGCCCCACCAGCCAGAGTCTGGAGCAGGGACCGGGGGTCGGAATGTGCATTTCCCACTCGGAGCCAGTGGAGGCGGGGCCTTGGGTGGACCCCATGGGCGCCACGTGCTGTCCTGGACCTGCATTCCTCCTGCCAGGAGTGGGGGGCCCTTTGCCGCGCTCTGTTCAGGGTCAGGGATGTCCAGCTGAACCTAGGCAGGCACTGCAGGCCTGAGGTCCCCCTGATCCCAGCTCAGGAGTGCCCTCAGCCCAAGGCAGCGGACGGCTTCCCCATCTCTGCAAACTGCAAGCTGAGCTCCTGGAAGCCAGTGGCATTTTAACAGCTGGGCACTGGCTGTGGCTGGCACTGTCATTTGGGCTCTTCTGAGGCCCACACTCCTCCTCACCGACCTGCAGCGGCTGCAGACCCACCACGTGTCCTGTCCTGGCCCAGACAACAGATGCCCAGGGAGGTAGCGCTGGCCACACCCCACCCTCCACCCGGAGACCTGCGGACATGAGGCTGTGCACTGGGAGACGAACTCGAGGACAGGGACGCCGTGTGCTATGCCTGCATGAGCTCCGAGAGGCAGCCATGCACCCCCAGCCCACCTCCTCTCCAGTCGGGGTCCAACCCCCATCCCATGGCCTGGAGGTCGCGAGCAGAGGCAGGCAGTAAAATTTCAACTTTATTTGGCCAATGTGTTCAACTCCAATGTTGTGGTAGAAACGCCTGAAGAGCGGGACAGCTGATGGGCTCCAGCTTCCGTGCTGTCCCCATGGGAACGGAAGCCAGGCTGTGGGTGGTGCGGGCCAGGCCACGCTCTCAGACCAGCTGGGTGCTGCTCTGGGGGGGGGGGGGGGGGGGGTGTCTGTGCTGGCCCAGGGTGCCCACCGCCCTCTGTCCTGGGGAGCCCCTGCGGAGACCTGACGTCTCATTGACCAGGCAGTGTGGGAACCTCGAGTCCTGGCAACACTGCCAGGTGAGTGACCGTCAGCCTGGCCCGCCGCCCCCACAGGGGACACCTGTCTCCAGGGCGGCCCGGCCAGGGTGGGACCGAACCCGATGTCCCAAAATGCCTAAAAATCTCACAGACAACGATGCTAGTGATCGCATAGCAACCTAACAGGCAGCTGACATCGCCAGCGTGAGATTCCAAAACATTTTAGCAAGCGCCCAGGTCAAAACCGTGTACGAAAAAGGACGTCACAGATTAAAAAGGCCCCGCAGGGGGCTGGCCTGGAGACAAGCCCTTTCCCAGACGACGGAGAAGACGGGCTTCAATGTACACGAGTGTCAGCGTGAAGTGTGGCTTCAGAAGTTCCCTGCATTTCCGATGGGTGCTCGGTCCTCCCGGGAGGGTGTGCAGCCTGGAGGCTGGCTGCTGGGGAGCAGCCTGAGGGGCGTCGGGGTGCCGGGCTGCTCCCACCTCACAGCTCGTCCTTCACAGCTTTCTGGTCATCGTCTTCCTCCAGGTCCGGCTCCTCTGCCTCCTCCAGATCTTCCAGATCCTGGGCGAGGGTGGAGGGAAGCCTGGAAGGTCAAGGTTCAAGCAGGGCCAGCCACCTGCCCTCTGGGGAGCTGGGTCCCAGCCCCCGACGACCCAGCATGGCCGCTGGGCGCAGTGCCCACCCTCCAGCCTCAGGGTTTGCAGGGCAGTGAGCCTACAACCGCAGCAGCATGAGCTGCTGGCTCGCCTGCCCCTTTCCCTGGCCTGACCACACCCCCTCACCCTGCCAGTCAGCAGCCTCCAGCCCGCCACACCCTCTTGGCCTGGGACCAACCCTGGCGTCCCCTCTGCACGCTGAGCACGGCTGACAGGGCCCTCGGCCAACGGCCGGGGAAGCCCTTTGGAGTCCCCATCAGCAGGGACCATACGGGACAAGCGGGCAGACTTCCTAAGCAAGCCCGGCATCAGCGCGTCCACACTGCTGCCCGGCCAGTGCTGGCCGCGAGGGAAGCCCGTGGGAGGCGGGGCTTGCCCGCAGCCGGCCCGGCTCGGCCTCACACACACGCCTCCAGCACCAACCAGGAAGCACATGTCCAGCAGACCACAGGCCGAGGCCCCAGAGCCCCGCGGGCGACCACTTACGTCATCGTCCCCTGCCCCGTCCTGGCCGCCGCTCTCTAAGAACTTCTTAAAACCGTCCAGCGTCCGCTCCCCGTTGTAATCAATGACCTGTAATGGGGGTGAGGGTGCGGGGTGAGCAGCAGACCCGGGTAGGCGGGGTCCCCCCAGAGGCTGAGCTTTCCCAGGGGCCCCGCCGCCTGCCTGCCCAGCATACCGTCCGGTCCGCACTGGCGGGGAAGAACTTGAGCGTCGGGAAGCTGTGCACTTTGACCGCCTCCACCTCGTTGGCCGTCGAGTCCATCTTGGCGATGACGATGTTCTCATGGTCCTTGTACATCTCCCCCAGCTTGTCCCAGATGGGAGCCAGCTGCTTGCAGTGCCCACACCACGGGGCGTCTGGAAGCAAGCAGCGCTGAGTCCCGCTGGGCCGGAGCCATGCCCTCCCTGCCCCCCGCCCCCGGCTCCAGGGAACCCGCAAGCCCAGGAGGCTTCACTCACAGAACTCCACAAACACGTTCTTTTTCTCGTCGAAAGCCACCTCCTCGAAGTTCTTCCCCACCAGCACCTTCACCGGCTGCTTGTCCCAGTCCTCGGGCAGCTCCTGGCTCATCAGGTGAGGCTGGAGGGCGGGCGGGCAGGTCAGGGTCTCCGCGCCCAAGGCCCCCACCCGACCCCAGCGGGCCACGCCAGGAGGGCTGCTCCCCACAAGGGGGACAAGAACGGCCACTCTCACATCATCCGGGGGCCTGCCCTCAGGACCCCAGGCTCACGGTTCAGACCCGGGAAGACACAGCCGCACCAGAAGCTCGAGGACGCCAGCCGCACAGCCCACCTTGATCTTGCCCTCCAGGAAGCGGTGGCAGAAATCGGTGATCTTCTCCGCCGTCAGCTCGTCCGACTCGGGCTTGTACTTGGTCATCTCCTCCTCCAGCGTGATGAGGCGCACGGCCGGGCACTCCTCCTTCTTGAGGCCGAAGAACTCGAGGATGCGCTGGTTGTCGGTGTGGTCGCTGTCGATGAATATAAACAGGATCTTGGGGGAGAAAAGGCACGGTGAGCGAGGCAGGGACTCGGGTGCGGCTTCCCCTCCCCGGGGCCGACCCCCGCCAGGCGGGCCGCAGACGCACCTTGCCCTTGAAACCCTGGGCGGCTTTCTTGAAGTTGCTCAGTTTGCCCTCGTAGTCGGCCACGCTCTTGGGCAGGAACAGCAGGATGTGTGTCTTGATCTCGCCCCCAAAGATCTTCGGGGCCGTCTGTCACAAACACAGTCACCGGGCTCAGTCCCGAGCTCAGCGACGCCTGGGCGGCAGCGGGGGACTCCTCGTGGGGTCCGGGGGCACCCCCACCCACGCAGCCGCCCCAGTGGGAGCCGCACCTGCTCGGTGAACTCGATGACCAGGGGCAGCTGGTTGTGCTTGATGAAGTCCAGCAGCTTCTCCTTGGTGACCTCCCCATCGAAGTCGTTCCGGCCTTCGTCGAACTGTGGACAGAGGAGGCCTGAGCACCGAGGGCTCCACGCGCACCGCATCCCAGGCCGGCAGGGACCAGCTGCCCAGACCCGCCATGGGCTCCCAGGAAGCCAGCACAGCCTGGAGCCTTGCTCATCCCAAGTTAAGGCAGCCGCTCAGCCTGCGGCCATACCCGAGGGCGACTTCCTCATCACAGTCAGGTGTCAGCAGGTGTCAGGTGCCTGCTGTTTGGCAGGACCTATGACACCGCAGCCCCTGAAGGCAAACCAGCCCCACTCAGGCAGGTGTGAAAGGGACCGCAAACCTAA